GGAGTTGATTTGGGTGTAGCTCTTGAGAGAAGGATGAGATTTTGTTATTAATGGCTCCTCCCTTGTCTCCATACCTTTAATGGGTAATCCACTTTTTTCCTGCTGAATGAATGCTACTCTATCCATATATTACATTGCTATAAGCATTTGAAGCTATGGAGACCTACTATTATATTCCTTTGATTGTGTTAGCTTGCCCTGGAGGTATGGTCAAATGCTTTACTTGCTAGAGTACTGTAGCATATTTCAATATTTGGGAGCATGGTTTTCCTATCAAAACTATTTAAGTTTTTGGAATTTACTGATCATTTTTGCATTTTGATTTTTCTATATTAATTTAAAAATGCTGTGCACAGTTCCCTCAACCACAAACACCCATCAAGATTTTTTAATTGGGTTGACTTAATTTTTAGATTTAATTTATGGAGAACTGATGTAATGATAATAGTCCACATGATATTTTCACTATAAGATCAAGTCTGTAGAATGGGTAACTATCCTGTAGAATGGATTAGTATGTAAAGTGGGGGAATCTGTTGTGTTGATTCTCCCTATCCATGAGCATGGGATATCTCTTGACCCCCTTCTGTCATGATTTAAATACTTTAATAGTGTCATTTGTAATTTTCATTGTATTAATCCTTTACCACCTTGACTAGATTAATTCCTGGGTACTTAGTTCTTTTCGAAGGATTAAATATAATTATTTTCTTAATTTCCTTTTTCTTCTCATTCATTGTTTATATATAAAAACACAACAGATTTTGGTATGTTGATTTGGTAGCTTGACACTTTGCTGTGTTCCTGTTTTGTTTTTAATAGGCTCTTGGTGGAGTCTTTAGGGGTTTCTATATATACTGTCATATCATCTGCAAATGATAGTTTTTCTTCTTTTTTCCAATCTGGATTCCTTTTCTTTCCTGTTCTTGTCTGATTGCTCTAGCTAAAACTTCTAATACTAAATTAAACAGAAATTGTGACAGGGGCATCCTTGTCTTGTTCTTGATCTTAAAGGCAATTTTTTCAGTTTTTCAACACTAAGTACTATATTGCCTATAGATTTGTGATAAGTGGACTTTATGTTGATGTAGGTTCCTTCTATTGCAGTCTTTAGAGTTTTTATCGTAAGTGGGTGCTGAATCTTATCAAAGCTTTCTTTGCATCTATAGATAATATCGTGATTTTTATCTTATTAATAGGGTTTTTGCATTGATTAATTTACATATATCAAATCATCCTTGCTTCCCTGGGATAAATCTAACTTGATCATGATGTATAATCCTTCTAACATTGTTGAATTCAAATAATCAGTATTTTTTAAAAGATTTATTTATTTATGCATACAAGAATTGGGGTACAGGCCAGAGATGCGGGGAGGTGAGAGGATTCACCAGAGACAGGGTGGGAAACAGAACAGGCAGATCTACTGAAATACACTGTTAAAGGGAAGAGTGGGTGAGACAGGAGAGGTCTGCTTCGCCATGTGGGTTGCTCCCTGGCCGGCCAAGAATCGAACTCGTGCTGCAGAAGCTGCGGATTGCTTCATAGTGTGGTGCTTAACCCCTTGCGCCACCAGGGAGGCCCCAATTAATTAGTATTTTGATGATTTTTGCATCAATATTCATCAGGAATATTGGTCTGTAATTTTCTTGTGCTTCCTATCTGGTTTTGGTATTAGATAAAGATGGCATAGTAAAATGTATTAGAGAGAATTTCCTCTTCTTGAATTTTAGAAATAGCTTGAGCAAGATGGGCATAAATTCTACTTTAAAGCCATTTAGCCCTGGTTTTGTTTTGGGGGAAGAATTTTTATTGCTGTTTCAATTTCCATGGTTGGGATCAGTTTATTCAACTTTTCTTTTTTTTTTTCCTGGTTTAGTCTTTTCTCCTTTTGGAACCTCCATGATGTAGATGTTGGTTTATTCCAAATAGCTCTCACACTTTGTCAATTTTTTCAATTCCTCTTTCTCTTTGTTCTTTTTGTGTATTCTCTACCATTATGCTTTCAAGCTCACTAATTCTCTGATTACTTATGTTTGTCTTTTTTTTTGTCTCAAGGGCAGCAATTTTTTTTAATACTCATCACAATTTTTATTTTTTATTTTTTAATTTTTTTAATATTTTATTTTATATATTCTTTACATCATTTTTCATTTTTGCACAATGTATGCATTTTCATCTTGGTTAGCTGGAAGGGATCATGCTCAGTGAAATAATCCAGAAAGAAAAAGAAAAATACCAGATGGTCTCACTCATAGCAGGAATTTAGAAAACCTAAATAAGGGACCAGGACAAAGACAAATTATAATAAAGTAAAAATAAAAATCAGCAAGCAACTATAAACCAAGGGCAGCAATTTTTAATTGGGTTTTAATATTTTTTTTAGATCCATTCCTTCTGGTTGTGACAGTCGTATATTCTTAATTTTTGTTGTGTTCCTGTTTTACATCATCCATTGTTTTTCTTTTCTTTTTTTTTTTTTTTTTTGTGGGACCCTCGCCGGCGGCCAGGGAGCGAACCGGAGCTACAGAGGCTGCGGGCAGCCTCGCAGCCCAGCTCTCAACTGCTGCGCCACCAGGGGAGGCCCTGTTTTTCTTTTTTTTAAAAAGAGAGATTTCTTAGCTCTTTTTTTAAAGATTTATTTATTTATGCATAGAAGAACTGGGTTGTTGACAGAGGTGCAGGGTGGAGGGGAGAGGATTCACCAGAGACAGAGTGGGGAGCAGAACAGGTGGATCTACTGAAATACACTGCTCAAGGGAGCAGCAGGTGAGACAGGAGAGGTCTGCTGCAACATATGTGGGTTAGCTCCCTGGTTGCAGGTCGAATTCAGGCTGAGGTGGTGATAGAGCTGAGTGTAACCCCTATGCCCTCTATTGTTTTTTGTAAATCAGCAAGCATTGTTAGAACTGTTACCATAAACTCCACATCAGGTATATTCCACAGTTCTGCTGGGTTGAGACTTCTCAGGGTTTTTTCCTCTAGCATTTGTGCTATGTTCTTCTGTATCTCCATTTTCAGTTTTTGTGGGTGATAACATAGGGTTTCCCTTTCTTAATGTAAATCTAGGGTGTTTTTTTTTTTTTTAACCACCATCTTTTGGTATCTGTTATTTCAAAGACTGCTGCCCTTGTGCCTGCTCAAATGACTGGGGCACTGGTGCTGGTAAAGGGTAATAGGAAAAAACCAGAGCAGTAAGGCATCAAAAGGTCACCTCCAGTGAAGCATCAAGGTTCAAACTTCCTATGTGCTGTGGGTACCCAAGTAGTGTGGTGGGCATCCATAGTGAGCCTCTCCCTTAAGCGAATTCCTCAGCCACATGTCTCTTGGGAGCTTCTAGCTCAGGAGGGTCATGTTCTGACCCCAGGTGCCCTGGCCCTGATCTGGAATCTCATGGTTTTCTTGCTTGTTACTCTAACTTAAAATGCTTTCTCTTCCTTGCTGTCTCCCTAGCTCTGTCTTCAACCCTACTCCCAGATGGGAGGTAAAAATCTCTTTCCACAGCCTGGGTCAAATCCCACTTTCTCCAAGAAACTGTGATATATTCTCTCAGTCTGAAATTTTCTCCGGACTTGGAAGTTGCAGAATCCAAGTTTTGCTACAAGAACTGGGGTACAGGCTAGAGGTGTGGGATGTGAGAGGATTCACTAGAGACAGAGTGGGGAGCAGAGCAGGTGGATCTACTGAAATACACTGCTGAGGGGAGCAGCAGCAAGACAGGAGAGGTCTGCTGGGCCATGTGGGTAACTCCCTGGCCGGGGATCGAACTCATGCTGCCGTGGCTGCTGTGTGGATAGCTTCATAGTGCTGAGACTTAACCCCTTGCACCACCAGGGGGGCCCCTGCATTTGTTTTTACCACTTGTAACAACTTGCTTTGTATTATTGTTTTCCTTTCCCCCCCTTTATGAATTCTGGGAGGGCAAGAACAGTATATCTTTCATTTTCTAAACTAATACTGTCAGTGCATTAAACACATAATGTTTTTAGACACACTTTAAAAATATGATAATACAACACAGAGTGAACCCTGTGTTAAAATATTGACTTTAAATATTGGCTCATCAATTGAATATATGTATCAGTTGAACAAATGCAAGATGTTAGTGACAGGAGAATCTGTGAATGAAGGAGAGGAATATATGGGAACCTTGTGCTCAGTTTACTTACACTACTCTAAAAAATAGAGTGAAAACTATATGAAACCCAGGCATTATTTTATCATCTCATGTCTATGATATGTTAGTCAGGTGAAATATATTCACCAACTGTTTATTATAGTTGTTTAAACCATTTTTTGAATAACAATGATTGAAGCATGTTTCTGACTTCTAAGCTTTGTTATGTTTGAAGTAACTGTTTCCTTTTTATTTTATTCCTGGTTAACATTCTTTTAATGGAGGTATACTTGACATGTAACATTATATTAGTTTTCGGTATACAACATTATGATCAGATGTTTGTATATATTACAAAATGATCGCCCATTATGTCTAGGTAGCACCATCACCATACATAGTTTTTTTTTCTTGTACCGAGCACTTTTAGGAGCTACTCTCTTTTCGAATGTACAATATGTTATTGTTAACTATAGTCACACCACTACAATTTCATCCCTATATTTGTTTCATTACTGAAAGTTCGTGCCTTTTGATCGTGAAGTAACAGCTTCTTTGTCTCACAGGTGGATGTTCTCTATGATAATTGCCCACATGATGGACTTTCAGACTGCTGTGCTAGAGTTTCACTTGGCTGTCCTCCAGGGGAAGATGCTAGCTACATTACTCATGCAACTTATTTTTCACTAAATGTTGTTTGTAAAGGTACAATTCACATTTGTAAATCAAATTTTACCTACTTTTTAATTTTATAGATTGGATTTGGAGATGTTACAAGGTAAAATTTGGAGCAAGCTTATTTGGTGAGAGGATTTTAGTATTAGCTCTACTCCACCAGTATTGTTGGCTCCAGTTTGAGGCCCTTTTATACTTGATGTGGACCTCTGGAGTTGGAAATAATATACAGCAAGGAACGGGATATGTAATATTTTTTAAAACTCACATTATTACTTGCTGCATTTTCATTTATTGAATGTGGTTACTAGTTTTTGTGTGTAATTTTTCATATAGGCATTGAATTTTTAACCCAGCTGAAAAATATTACAAATATGCATAGATAATTTTAAAAATGCTTTAATATAAGGTTTGGAGACAGCCTTGTACCTTTCTAAGTGTGCGCATATATGTCCATTGCTGAATTTTTTTTTGTAATTACCTGCTATGACATTTTGGTTTTTAATGCATAAAGTAATAATTTGTTGATTTGTTTATGCTTTTGAGTTTAATTCAGCTCAAGATAGGTGCTAGATCTTTGCAACCAAATAAATAAGACTTCGAAACTCCGCCTGCAAAGATTTCAGGATAATTGGGAGAGCACACTCAGTATAATGAACACCCTAAACGTGATGAAAACAACATCATTGAGCAGAGGAGCAAGAATGATCCACTGGTGGTGGGGGGATTGTGGGAGGCTTCCTGGATGAAATGCTCTTCAAGCTAGACTCAATAACCCCACAACTCCCTGCCAGGCTTGATTTCAAAAGATGCCTAAGCATATCTGCCTAAGCAGCTTAATTTCATATCTGCCTCAGCAGCTGCCATTTAGCTTTAATGCAAAATAGGAAGTTAGTTCAGCCATACCAAGCAGCTTTCCATTGTACTTTTCCTGGATGTAAAAGCCAGGACTTGACCTTAGTTATTAACCCTGGAAATCCCCAAGCTTCTTGTTTGCACAATGCTCAGGGCAGAGTTTCCATTTTTAAGATGTGTAAAGACCGAGGAGCAAAATAATATGCATGAGAAGAATATGAATCTGAATTTGGTTAGGGTTGCAGTATGTACATTTTGGAGTTATCAGCCCGTAGATATTATATAAAGCCACCAAAAAATGTGGATAGAAAAGAGAGGGGGGTAGAGGGGACTGAAGGGGAGGAGAGTGAGGTCTTGGGTCATTCTAAAATTTAGTTGTAATGGAAACTAGGAGGAACAAGGAAAGGACGATGATGAAACTAGGAAATCCTGGTTCATAGAGTACAGCAATGTTTAACATTAGTAGATATTGCCAGGTTTCTGAATATACCACTTTTCACTGCCAGTAGAGTGAGAATTCCATTTACTTGAAATCTTCCATAGTACCTTTGTATCCTGTGAAACCCTATAAATATTTGTTTATAATGGTAAAGTATATCAAGTTCATTTTCTATCCAGAACACTGAGAAAATTGTTTCTCTCTATAGCAATTTGTTCAGTTGCTACTGCTACCACTAATAACAATCAACACTTATTTGGTGCTGATTATTATAGATGAAGAAATCTAGGAACAGAAAAGTAAGTAACTTGACCAAACTGAGGGAGTTCAAGGTTTGAACCCAGGCAGTCAGCTTCATGTATGCTATTACTTTTGTACTTTCCTGCCTCTCCAGAAGAGTTGTGGCGATAACTAGTGGTTTGATAAATCCAGTGCAGCTCGCAAAAAGATTGCCTTGTGATACACAGTAGATGTTTTCCCCAATGAACTTTATTAAATCAGGAGAGAGACTCCACACCTAAAGGATTATATACTACCTCTTTGACAGGAAGACTTAAAGGCTGCTTGTTTTACAATGTTCAAAATGTACCATTGATGTAATAGAAACTATTTTAAGGTAGGACAACATCTAAGTCATTTGTGAAATTTAACATTACAAAAAGTAAGAGATAATTCCAACTTGATTTCTCCCCATGGCTGTTTTAGGTTTTGAGCCTTATGAGGGTGATCGAGTAGAAGTTGCATTTTCCATGCAGCCAGACACATGGACTAGAAAGGCCCTTTTGGTGAAACCTCTGAGACATAAGCATGTATATGAGGTAATTCATTTATGTGTAAGTCTTATTTGTTCCTGTTTATCCTTCCTTTAGTGGTATTTTTGCTCCTCAGCATTCTGTTGGGTATGTTGGGAAGCCTAAAAGGAAATATTCTTTGCCACAGAAGAGTCTGTTTTCTTACACTCTCTAATTAAGATCTAAATTATGCGGTTTATTTTGAAAAATTAGCGGGAAATTCGGGTTGCACAAAGGTGCAGATGAAACTTGGTGACAGAGGAAGTAGAGGGAAATGATTCCTTTCTCATTCCTTTTCACTCTCTCAGCCATAACTATAGAGGTTAATAAATACTGTAAATTGTATTTTTTTTGTGGGACCCTCACTGGTGGCCGGGGATCGAACTGGCGCTGCAGAGGCTGCGGGCAGCCTCGCAACCCAGCGCTCAACCGCTGCACCACCAGGGGAGGCCTTGTGAATTGTATTTAAAGCAGTCTCTATTTCTAGACCTGGGCCCCATCCTTAGCAATTCTGACATTTTATTTTACAAAGTGGCCCTGGTATTCCCATGTGCAGCCAGGTGGGAAAATCACTGATTTGCAGTAACCTATCATTTAGAGCCCAAGTAAGAAGGAGCAGACCCTGTTTGAGTGTACTATGCTTTTGCATAAATCTTTCCATTTTTGTCATTACAGGTCTACATTACTAGTGTGCACGGAAGAAATGGGGTTATAGATGATAGTATCTTTTTCACCTTGGATTCTCTGAAACTTCCTGATGGCTACATACCTCAGGTATCCGACCTCGTGGATGCGGTCGTGCTGGAAAGCATTCAGTCCTGCTATCTTTGGAGAGCAATTTCTGTGACTCCAGTGAAAAGGCAGTAATAAGAAAAGAATGTTTATTCACAGTTTCTCTTTTTTTTTTTCTCTTGGCAGTTAAGGGCCTTGATTTAAATGTATTTTGAAAATAAGTGGCTAGTTAAACTTCAATATTTAATTCAGGTATAACCTTTAAAGTACAGTTAATTCAAATACAGTCTAAATGGAATATATCTTCTGAAAAGTGCTCAGCATTTAAAATTCTTGATTAAAGGCATTTTCATTTTAATCCTTTCTAACAATTTTATATTCATGATTTTCTATTTTTTAATGGATGCTATTTTTTAAATTAATCTACATTCTCTTTTCACCTTTAGAACACAATTTCTTTTTTTTTAAAGATCTATTTATTTATGCATACAAGAACTGGGGTACAGGCCAAATGTGTGTGGGGGGTATGTGTGAGAGGATTCACCAGAGACACAGTGGGAAACAGAACAGGCAGATTGACTGAAGTACATAGCTGAGGGGAGCAGGGGGCGAGTCAGGAGAGGTCTCCTGCCATGTGGGTTGCCCCCTGGCGGGCGATCAAGCTCATGCCTCAGTGGCTGCGGACAGCTTCAAAGGTTGTGTCCTAACCCCTTGTGCCACCAGGGAGGCCCTAGAACACAGTTTCTAATGCAAAAAACTTCTTTTTTGAACACATTGTGTATCAATTTTTGTTACTATTCTAGTTTGTGTTATAGGTCCAGTGGGACCAACATCTAGTGCTTAGTTCCCACTTTATGAGTCAGGAGTTGGAGTCGATATCCTCCAGATTTTAGGTATCACTCAGTGATTCGCTTCAGAAATAGTGACTACCTTCTATGTGCCAGGTGCTGGGGTGATAGGCTTGAACACAAAGGCCAAAATACCTGCCCTCTGGAACCTGCCTTCTCTCCATGCCCATTTGGCTTCCTGACCCTTGGAGGCAAGGGGGCAAGTGGGAGCTGGTGCAGCACCAGGTCCCTAACACAGTCATCATTCCAACCAGCAGGTGTATCAACTCAGAGGCTTCTGGCCATTATTTCAAATGCAGGGTCCTTGGTCATCTCGCAACCCAGCGAGATGTGTGTGTAGCCTCACTGCTCAGAATTGTAATGTCCTGCTCCCTGCTTCCTTCTATAGGTGCCAACTCCCTGCGGGGCCCAGATTCAGGGTCTCACTATGTTCTCCCTAAAAGGATAATATGATGCTAGTAATTAGAAATAGGAAATGCCAGGATGGAAAGGAAATAAGACAATCATCTTGAACAGGGGTTGCAACTTTGGCCATTGGGCCAAAACTGACATGCCAATTATTTTTAAAAAATGGATTTATGCAAACATAATTTATAAAACATGCAATGCACTGCAAGTGTACAACTCAGTATTTTTAAGTATATTTGAAGTGTTATGCTGTCATCACATGATCTTAAATTTAGAACATTTTCAGTCCTAATTGAAAACAGCTCATATCAGGAATAAAAATCCTGATTAGTACATCTCAAGGGAATCAGCACCTACAGAGCTTAGCAGGGAGCAGAGCCTATATAGCTGAGCAGGGAGCCAGCAACTTTGGAGCTCAGCAGGGAGCCAGGGCTTAGAGAGGTCTTTAGTGTGCCAGTTCAAACATAGCTCAACACATATAGGAGCCAGCACCTATAGAGCTCAGCAGGGTGCTGGCACCTAGGGAGTTCAGCAGAGTGCTGGTACATAAATAGAGCTCAGCAGGGAGCTGGTATGGATAGAGCCCCGTTGGAGCAAGAAATTGTTGGGTCCAGCAGGGAGTTGGCACCTATAGAAGGAAGCAGGGAGCAGGACATTACAATTCTGAGCAGTGAGGCTACACATACAAGACCAGTTGGGAACAAATTACACAGTGCAAGGCAGGCAGCTGGCACCTAAACTGCTTAGCATAGAGCGGAAAAACATTGGGCACAGCAGGGAGCTGGAGCCCATGGGGTTCAGCTGGGAATCCATTCAAATTCCACCAAACAGGGACTGGGCAAATACTGTGTTCAACAGCAACAGCACAAATGCCACCAGGACTGCCCGTCCAGCGCCAGGGGATGCCCCCATCCGCCCGGCCGGGCAGCCAGCTCAGCGGCAGCCAGGAGGCTGCCATCAAGGGCGAGCAGGAGGCCAGCGAGGCCGATGACGGCGCACCCACGGGCGCCACTCCCTGCGAAGGGACGTCAGGCCCCAGGTCCAGCCGCCTGCAGTTGGGGGCCGCCTCCCACTCTCCACGGAGGTCGAAGAGCCCAGCTGCACGCCCGACTGCCTGTCAGGCGGACCAGGCCACGGCCCGGGGCATCACGGCCCTTGGACAAGAGCAGGAGCCAAGCCGCCTCAAGGGGCCGTTGGGCGCCGGGCCAGTCCGTCCGCCAAAGACACCTACCCAAGGCCAAAGGCCGCAGGGCCAGGACGGTTGCGGGCAGCGGGGCCGCCCCAGCCCAGAGCCAGGGCGAGCCAGGGCGAGCCTGGCGGCCTCTGGCTGCAGTTCCCCAGAAGGTCCGCGCGAGGGCGCGCCAGCCGGGCTCTTTCGCGCAGCCCGCAGGCTCGCGGCAGGTCCGCGGGCGGAGCAGGTGCAGCGACTGCTTGTTTGCAGCTCATTGGCCACAGCTGGATGAGACGCCCGCGCCCCGCGCCGTGGCCTCCCCGGGGAGACGGCGGCGTCGCCGCAGCCCCTCCCCAGCCACCTCGTCTGCAGTGCACCCACCGCGCTGCTCCTTCTTAGCCCTTGCCTGCGTGGGCGGGGGCCTTTCCACCCGCCCGGAATTCAGAGTTTGACTCCCCGAGGAACCGGCTGAAACGCTCCGTGCACGCGGAGCAGCGCTGGACCCCCGGTCCCCTCCTCTTTCTGTCCTAGGACGAGCTCTGCGCGGGAAGGGCGCTGCTTCCTGGCCTGCCCCGCTGCTTTGTTGTGCGGCCGGCCTGCTCCCGTGCCTGGCAGGCCCCCCGGGCCCCTGGGACGTCTGGTCTGGACACCAGGGCCGACAGGCTGGGGCCGTGCCCTTGGTGCTTTGCTCTCCGGAGAGACAGCGACCCTGGGCGCATCCCGCCTTCCCTCCCCCCCGGGCACATGTTCTCCCCCCGCCCTTTCCAAGGCTCTCTCCAGCCCCGGGGCCTCCGGCCTGCTCGCTCCCTCCCCACTCGTCTTGCGCCCTGTCCCGAGAGGCTTCCTGCCGGTCTCCTAGGTGCCCGGTCGCACACGCGGGCGCAGGCTTGCCGTGGGCTTCCGCTGGCGCACAGCCTGTTGAGAAAGCCGGCTGGGGGCCGCGCACGGGTTCAGGGCGCGCGGCTGTGCGCGCAGCAGGGGCTCCCCGGGAGGCTGCGCGGAGGAGCTCGCGGGGTGGGCGCGCGGGCCAAGCGCGTGGAGCTGTTTCCCGGGCCGGGCGCGCGAAAGGAGCGCCCGAGGAGCGGGGGCGCGCGGGCAGGGCGCGCGGCGGAGGCGCGCGCTAAGGCGCCACAGCCCTCGCGGAGCGTGGCAGGCGGGGTCCATCTGCGCCCGGGGAGCGCCAGTCACGTCCGCTGTGACCCCAGAGCACCTGGCGCAAGGGTGGCAGGCAAACTGGGCTCCTTTCCCGCCCCTGGGTCTACCTGCCCCGCACCCCGGGACCTTCGGGGACCGAGGGGCCTCCTGCTTGCGGCCGTGCGACTCCAGGGAAAGCAGACGGCGCCCGCAGCCCAGCCGGGTGTCCAAAAGATCGCGCCTGCTGCCTCCTGCTCTGGACAAGAGCCGCTCGCCCTCGCAGCTGTCTTGCGCCATCGCGCGCCCCAGCTGTCCCAAGAAACACACCCCGCTCCCCTCACCCCCCCCCACACCCGTTCCCCAACGTACTCTGTGGGGCCAGCAGGCAGGGCCAGGAGCTGCCCCCATGCGCCCGGCCGGGCAGCCAGCTGGAGGCCGCCATCAAGGGCGAGCAGGAGGCCAGCGAGGCCAATGACGGCGCACCCACGGGCGCCACTCCCTGCGAAGGGACGTCAGGCCCCAGGTCCAGCCGCCTGCAGTTGGGGGCCATGCCTGCCGAGGGCAGCCAGAGACAGAGCCTCCCACTCTCCACGGAGGTCTAAAGGCCCAGCTGCTCGCCCGATACTGACAGGTCGTCCAGAGCACTGTGGGCAACGGGTCCCCTCGATAAAAGCAGGATCCTATGTGCCTGCGGGACCGCTGGGCACAGGGGCAGTCCGTCTGCCCATCCGGACAGCGTTTTTTCTCCAGCCCAGGGCCTGTGGGAGCCCTGCCGGCCCCGTGTGCAGTTCTCCAGACTGTCCACACGAGGGCGCGCCAGGCCGCATCAATTGCCCCGCCGGCAGGCTCGCTGCAGGTCCGCTGGTGGACCCGGGCAAGCGACTGCTAGTTTGCAGCTCTTTGGCCACAGCCTGAAGAGATGCCCATCGCTCCGGGACGTGCCTCTCCAGGGAGACGGCCGCACCGACAGATCCCCTCCCTATCCGCTTTTTTCTTGAGTAAGCTTTGCTGTGGATTCATAACTCGGGATGCCCTGAATTAGAATATTTCTTCCCTGTGCTACACAAATCCAACAGGAGGTGGTCGTGGTCATGGTTCATGCCTGTCTGATGTCTTTCGTGCACTTCTCTGAAATTACCACAGGGTTTCTTGCTGCTTCGTGTTGATAATTTTTTTATGGGCTCCTGTAGCCAGAAACCCTTCCACCTTCCCCTTTGTATCCTTTGATTCCATGTGTAAATATGTCAGGTGTTCATGAAGAGCATCAAGTTCCGTGAATTTTGGAATTTTTCTCTTCCGGTTCAAATCTGTAACTTCAGTGTTTTGAACAGACTTTCACCTAAAATGGAATCATTATGTATGTGTGGAGTGAGGCACAAATTCCCCTATAAATGGGAACTGCGCATTAAATGGTTAGTAGTCCCACTGGATCATTTAAGCAAACCCAGAATCATAAAAAAAAAATTGGTATGATATGCCATGTGCTGAGAAGTCAAAAGATGAATGTGTGAAGATGAAATTAATTAAAATTTAAACAGATCCATGAAAAGTAGATGGGCACGAATATGATATTATTGGAAATGATTAAGAGGAAATCTCCCTAAGCATCCATGAAAATTGCTGAGCACCCTCTGTAAATGCATCCTAAATTAAATCTATAAACTCAATGTGTTCCCAATAAAATGTCCCAACTCATATTACTGTTGCTGTGGTTGGCAGAGGAGGACTTAAGCCAATGATTTTCACATCTGTGTACATTGGGTGGCTCACTTCTACGCAGAATATAGAGAAACAAAACAACAGGTCAAGAAAAAGATAAGACGTGCAAAGTAACCATAGATCTGAGACATTTAGCAAGGGAGGGAGGGGCAGGAGATTCAAAACCAGGGGAGGGAAAAGCACGAGGGAATATGGTGATGCTTCATGGGTGATATGGAGGCAGGAGATCTATGGGGAAAATAATAATGTAAGAAAATAATATAAGAATGTAAGAAAATGTAATGTAAGAAAATAAATATAAATTAACAGAAACAAACAAAAGATCACAAAGCCATGATGTTCCCAGCATTAAAATGCCTCATGCCCTGGTTTTGCATAGACAGACACAATGCTACAGTTTCTAAGCGACACTCTCACGAGCATCAGAGTAATGTTAAAGAACATCCAAAGCCTCTCCCCAGCTCAGGGCCTGTTGTTAAGCACTGTTGACACCAGGGTAAGCAACCAGGCTGTAGAGGGGAACACGGTGGGTGTCTCCCCCAAATGCCTAGGGAGAGGAGCCTTGGGTCCTTGAGTGGCCTGGAACTACATAGTTATTGCTTTGCTTTTAGTTTCAATTAAAGGTGGAAGAAATCTGAAGTGCAGAGTGGTTTCCCCACCTCCCTGTGTCTGAGAACTCCTGCAGAGACTGTCAAAGTCAATAGAATCCCCTTTCCATGTAAGCCATGAAAGCTATACTGGGGTTAAAAACATAGCAGACCAAAACTGAGTGAAAACACAATTTTATTTTAATAGTTGAAACAATGAAATCATTTGTGATTCTGAACCACTTTTTTATTTTCGAAAATTGTGGCTAGACATGTTAGCTACATGGTTTTTTGGCAAGGGCCAACTCCACCCTGGTTTGTTTCTTGTCAGCATCCACAGCCACTTTGACAGATCCAAATCATTGTTGTACCTCCCCAGCTGCCTACCAACTAAAAAGCTCATCACATTTTTGGGAGCCTGGGTGGGTTTTAAGTATTCTTCTGCCTTCCTGTTGATATGCAGTGTGGTCATGCTGGGACTGAAGTCAGGGTGTCCTTCATCCATGTCTAGCTGACACCACAGATGGCTTTAGGAAGAGAGCACAAGCAGCAAGGCCTGAAAAGGATGATGAAACCAGTTAATCCAGTGGGTGCTGGGCCTCCTTCCCTCTCCACCTCCTTACCACACACGTGCTTGTTTCAGTAGTAGTCCTTAGACACTGCTTGAGGCATTGTCTGATTTGAAATGCAGCCTTATCATTTCTTTCTGTCATGTACATGGGTGTATATCAAGAATCTCTATTATTTTTCCATTGAGGTATTTGCCATTCCTATGATAATTACTAAATATGTAGGGCTTCACTAATTTTTATTGGCTGAGTGACTCACTGACAAACTTTACTTATGGACACTGTGTGATAACTACTTTTTACCTCAACCATATTACCTTTTGTTAGAAATTTGGTAAAGGCAGACCTTATCTGGTCTGTGTTCCATGCCTCAGTCAAGAACAGTCTAAAGAGAAACCACTACAGGCATCAGGGATGAGAAAGGAGATCAGGTTGGGACAATGACTTCAGAAGAGGTTCCCTGCTTCACTTCCAGGAGGATAATCTAGTCTAGAGGGGCCCTGGACTCAGAGGATCTTGTAACTTGGGGCAAAAGTGAACACTGGAGACCAATGCTGACTGAGACAATGAGGAACTCCAACTCTATACAAAAAGGTGGGTGGAGAGAGACACCTAGAAACTGTGACCTGAGCAGGAACAGCTGGCTCAAACCTGCGTTCTTATGCTAAGATGGTCTGGGGAGGAGAGAGCTGCTTACGTGGAAGTGCATTTTTACTTGTGGGGAGATACGTGCAGAGGTGCTTGGGTGAGCCAGGTGGGCAGGATCCCCAGTGAAGAAGACAATGCTCAGAATGGTGTTACCTCTTCCCCATCCCCCTCAGGATTAGAGCTAATGCTGTGAAGTGGCACTAAAGGTCTAGACCACAGACTGTAGAGACATGGGCCTGGGAATCCAGAGAGGAGGGTTGGCAGTGGTACTGTAGGCATGTGCCACCCTAGCACACCACTTTCACCAGTGACTAAACCCCTCCTGGCCCCTCTCTTACCCCTAGACACAACAGCTGCAGATTTGTTCTCCCTGACATACATCAACATCTACTGAGAAAGTGGTAGTCTTGCACTCTTAGGACACTTGAACAAATAGTAACTTAGAAAGATATAAAATGGGGAAATGGAAAAATGCAACACAAGACTCAAGGCACCTTGAGTCCTCAAAAGACTGCTTCACCGCAAAGAGAGAACAAATCTCCAGAATCCAACCACAAAGACATGGACCTTCTTTTCTTATTGGATACAGGGTTCAAAATTCCCATGATAAAGAAATTCAAAGAAATGGAAGAAAACACAAAAAAACTGATCAAAGGTAGACAAGAAAATGCATAAAAACAAATGAATAGCCTGAGAAATAAAATTAATGAACACAAGATCAAAATTGAAACTTTAAATCAGAAAATAACAGAGATGCAGGATGTAAAAAGATCAATAAAAGAGATTTTTAAAATTCTGGAGAAAGCTATGGAAGTAAAACAGACCAAATGGAAAACGAAATCAGTGACCTTAAAGATGGTAATGCACAAAGAACCCAGGTGGAAGAAGAAATAAACACAAAGAAAAAAAAAAAGAAGAAACACATAGAGAGTCATCCAACTCCATGAGGAAAGGTAATATAAGATTTTTTTCTTAAAGATTTATTTATTTATTTACACAAGCACTGGGTACAGTCAGAAGCACGGGAGGGTGAGAGAATTCACCAGAGCCAGAGCGGGGAGCAGAACAGGCAGAAGGACCGAAGTACACTGCTGACGGGAGCAGCGGGCGGCAGGAGAGGTCTGCGCGCCATGTGGGACCCTCCTCTGGTGGCCGGGGAGCAGCCGGGGATCGAACCAGCGCCGCAGAGGCTGTGGGCAGCTTCACAACCCAGCGCTCAACCGCTGCGCCACCGGGGAGGCCCGTAATATAAGATTAATGGGTATTCCAGAAGCAGGAGAGAGAGAAGGGAACAGAGAACATGTTCAAGTAAATAATAAAGGAAAACTTCCCAAATCTGGAGGAGGAACTAAATATATGAGTCCTTGAAGCTAAAAAAGACCTGGTTACCTAAATGTAATGAGACCTACACCAAGCCACAGTGGTGAAACCTCTAAGAATTCAAGACAAAGAAAAAAATATTGAAGCTAGTTAAGGGGGAAAAACAGATCAATTATAAAGGTACTCTTGTCAAGCTTACACCTGACTTCTCCAAGAAAACACCGCAAAGGGAATGGAATGATATGATCAAAATACTTAATGATAAAAACTGCCAGCCAAGAATACACTGTCCTGAAAATCTGTCTTTCAAATAAGAGGGGAAAATAAAGGCATTCTCAGACAAACAGAAACTGAAGGAGGTTGAAAACACTAGTACCCCCCCCCAAAGAATTGTGGAAAGGAGCTCTCATATATAAATTGAAGAGAATAAAATGCCCCAGAAACTGAACAAAGAAATAGAAGAAAAATAAAGACAAAATAGCAGCAGCAGACTTTCACATATCAACAATCACTCTAGATCTCAACGGGCTGAATTCACCAATCAAAACCAGAGTGGCTGACTGGATCAGAAAACAGAGTCCAACTTTCTGCTCTCTGCAGGAAATGCACCTAAGCTCCAAAGATAGACTCAGAGTAAGGGCTTGGAAAGCAGTCCTAAAAGCAAACAGGACCCAAAGAAAGGCAGGGTAAGGCATACTTACAGCAGATACACAGATATCCACCTTTAAAAAGGTAACAAGAGACAGGGAAGAACATATATAAGAATGAAGGGAACAACAGATCAGGAAGACATAACATTTATCAATCTATATTCACCAAATGAAGGAGCACCAAAATATAAAAGATAATTATTGTGAAATCTGAAAACAGAGATTGGGAGCAACACATTAGTGGCTGGGGACTTCACCCGAAAACGCTGAATACGTTCTTTTCCAGTACACATGGGGCGTTCTCCAGGATAGATCACATACTGGGTCACAAAATAAGTGTCAATAAAATTCATGAAGATTAAAATCATACCAAGTATCTTCTCTCATCACAATGGTATAAACCCACATTTACATGGAGAAAGGTAAGTGGTGGTGGGGAAACTGGACAGCCACGTGCCTAAGAATGAGACTAGAGCACTATCACACGCTGTACACAAAAATTGACTGAAAATGGATAAAAGACTTGGATGTAAGACCTGAAGATCGGTCTTACACTTGCTATGTGTAATTCACAGAGTCCCAGAAGTCCAGTCCTGGAGCCCCAGGGAAGCCTCCCCGTCACCTCTCTCTGTGTGAAGCTCACCCCTCCTCCATGACTCTGTTGCCACAGACACGTGCTTCATAAGACATAGGCTTCCGTGATGGCCTTGTGGATGCATCTCCAACAGCAGGAAAAACAAAATAGAATATAAACAATTGGGCTATGAGGTCTCCAGACAGAGGGAGCGGCCTGTGCAGAGGCTTCGAGGCAGGCGTGTGTCTGGAGTAGCCAAGTGGTCGTGGCTTCCACATCGCTCCCTCAACACCTTCCTGCTAATCATCATCTCCTTCAAGATTTTGCTCAACCGTGGCTCTCTAGTGAGGCCTACTCGTCGGGCGCCCGGCCAGTCCTTTCCCCGTGCGGGCGTGAACGAGTGAGAGGCAGGGAATGAAGGCAGGCTTGTCCTTGGAGGTACTAGGTACTCGCCTCTGAAAATCTGATGACAGAATTGGACCTTCTCCCTGAGAAGGTTCTATAGTCTCAGCTGAGACGACAGAGCATGCCCCTTGCGCTGGGTTTTTCATGGTGGGTGCTATTATCACCCCCATCATGCAGTTGAGGCTCTGGGGCAAAAGGAAGTGGAACAATTTATCTGAGGGCCCCCAGTCAGGGAGAAATGGGAAGTGGGTCCAGGCAGCCTGGCTCCAGTATTGTTGCCCATAAGCACAGGGTCACATTCAGTGATCACATCTGGTGACTTGCTCTGGGTGGTGGGGAGGAGAAAATGGCTTGAGGGAGAGGTAAAGACCTCAGCTGTCAGATCAGCGAGAGGCCGGGCACGTGTCTGTGGCAACTCAGAGACATGGAGGAGGGATGAGCTTCACACAGAGAGAGGAGACAGGGAGTCTTCACTGGGGCTCCATGACTGGACTTCTGGAACCCTGTGAATTACATGTCACAAGTTATGGGTCAAGGCATTTTCTAGGGAGAAGGTTTAATTCCATCATCAGATTTTCAGAGGTGAACAAAGCCTACCTCCATGCCAGGCCCCCAGAATAAAAGTGTGAAGCTCCATTGCTCTGAGCCCTAGGGAGGTTAGGGCAAAGTGGGGTACAGCCTTCAGCCTGCAGCATCATGGAGTAAGAGTGGGATGGGCCCAGGGACACTCTGGACACAAAGTGGGTAACTCCCTTAATCCCCTGGTATACAACCAACTGTTAGGTTGTAGTTGGAGTGTGAGGCCATTCTCAACTGTTGACTAAATCTTCATACCCAACTTAATTTTAACTTGAATTTTATTGCCCTTTTTAAGAACTGCCTTCTCATCTCTGACGTTTCTCTGTCCCTGGGAAATGTGTTTCTTTATAGACTAATTCATGATTTTGTTAAATCTATCAGTAACAAAGTTCAGTATTTTACATTTGAATTCTTCACTCTAACGTGGAGTTGCTGTAATTTGTTTCCTCTCAAAAATGTCTTATATTTTAGCTTCAAATAAAATTTAATTACTTTAAAAATCATTGGTGAAGCAAGTATGAATGTTCTTCCACAAACCCCTGTGAAAGAAATTAACTTTAAACTCTCAAGTGCTACTTAGTCTGTTTCCTGCTGAGCTAGCAGGAAACTTCACCTTAGCAGTTTGAAGATTCACCCAAAGGCTTATGCAGTATTTTTTAAAAATCTGACATAGTGCCAAAGTGGGGGTGGTGGTGCCCACTTTGTTCTCAATTTTTGACTCATAAGAGAAAGGGAGGTGTTCAAGGTTACACAGAGCTAGCATTGAAACTGAGAAAGCCTTATCAAGAGCCAGCGCTCCTACCCACTTCTTCATAGAGCATCTTTGTTTCAGTTTGAGCAAATGACAATCCCATACCCTCCCCCTACTGTCCAGCAGGGTTTCATCAAGTGAACTCAACAGTGTGGTGAAGGCACAAAATATTGCTACATTATCTTTGTGTATTTGGATGTTTTACATCTCAGACCACTCAGATTTCTCTGGAAGAAAGGTCCAGAGGAGAGGACAAGGAATGAGAAGGAAAATTCTCTCTTCTTGTCTTGTTCTCTTTCCCGAAGTCATACAGCCTGATTCATTGAGCACTGAAAGGAGTCATGGGGACCTCACAACAGCTCTAGAACCTTGAATACACCACCTCGGTGGGGTTGCTTCAGGGCTGAATACGGTAAGTGGGTGAGAGGTGCTGGAATTGGAGGCAGATATTACCCATGAGTGGGAACCATCTGCCGATTTGTGCCTCGCACAGGACACTCGGTTATTTTGATCTCAGAGCTTTTTCCTGGCTCATGCAAAATCTGTCCATTAGCACTACTCCTGTGGGAGGAGTTAACAGCACCCACTGCCTATCAATAGGTCCAGTGGACAAAGGCCAGTGATTTTGACCTCAAGTTCCCAACAGAAACATAGTGCCAACTAGAATTTTCTATTTTCTTCTCAATCTCTGTATATGACCTTGGCCACAGATCTGAAATTACTTTCACAATGCACAATTCACATTAGCAATAAGTATTTAACTGTAGAAATTTTGGCTGTGGGTAGTCATACTGCTCATGCTATATTACCTTCCAAGATTCTGATCTAGTACAACTGTATTTTTAACACTAAAGTGTGACCCACATGGGTATTGTTTAGAGGTAAGGCATGAATCTTCACAGGCTGTCAGTGAGATAAGAATGAGGACAAGGCTTTGTACTTTTTATAGTGTTGTCTTAAGAAGCCAATATGACAATTATGATGAGCTGTGACATCTTCCTATTGGCTATCCCACTGTAGAGAGTCTCCCGTGAAGAAATTATGACAAGGATCCAGGTTACACACTACCTTTCTTGAGTGGCTGAAAAGGCTCAGTGATCCAGGTTTCTTCCTATTCCATATGAAATTGTGTAAAGATATTGATACTGTGTTCAATATCTAAAAGAAATTGGAGAGGGATAAGAACTATTCAGTATTTTATTAACAAAAGTGGCAAATCCCTTTTTCGTAAAAAAAAGAAAGTAGATCAGGAAAGGTAGGTTGATATAAGTCAAAAATAAATAAATAAAATCTTGCGTACTTTTCAAATAATTAATAGATAATATAATAATAATAGAAATAAAACATCCTATTCAAATTGGTCACATTGTAAAACACCCACAAATACAATTGATTTTTTAAACATAGGGAAAATATATATAAAAAATGTTATGAGTTTCCTGTTTGGTTACTAAAATAGTATTTTAAAATATAATTTTTGGAAAGGAAGACTAATTATTAAAATGGTATCAGTTGTCTCAATCAGTGAATTCAGTGCAATGTCAATCATAAATCACAATAGGATTTTTTTAAAGATTTATATATGCAAAGACAAACTGGGGTGTAGGCCAAAGGTACAGAGGGTGAGAGGATTCACCAGAGACAGAGTGGGGCACAGAACAGGCAGATCTACTGAAATACACTGCTAAGTGGAGCAGTGGGTGAGACAGGAGAGGTCTGCTGCATCAAGTGGGTTAGCTCCCTGGCTGGGGATAAAACTCAGGCCACAGCTGTCAAAGCATGATAATGATGAGACTTAACCCCTATGCCATTAGGGAGGCACCACAATAGGATTTTGAGTGTGTGCATGGTACTAGATAACTAAATACAAAATTACCTTGAAGAGAAAATGTGAGGGGCTATCCAAGATGGGAAGCTTATTGCACTGTATTATTAAAACTTACACTATAGGGGCCTCCCCTGGTGGCGCAGTGGTTGAGCGCTGGACTGCGAAGCTGCCCGCAGCCTCTGCAGCGCCGGTTCAATCCCTGGCTGCTGGCAAGGGTCCCACATGGAGCACAGACCTCTCCTGCCGCGCCCACTGCTCCCCTCAGCAGTGTACTTCAGTCCTTCTGCCTGCTCTGCTCCCCGCTCTGGCTCTGGTGAATCCTCTCACCCTCCCGCGCTTCTGACTGTATAAATAAATGCTTGTATAAATAAATAAATAAATTGTATAAATAAATACAGTGCTTGTATAAATAAATAAATAAATCTTTCAAAAATAAATAAATAAAACTTACACTATAGAATTAACATTTGACACAGCAATTAACAAATATGTCAATGGAACAAAATAGAGATTCAGGAAATATTTTCATAAATATGTGGGAACCAAAGAAATGATGAAGCTGGTATTACAAATAAGATGTTGCCTCAAAGCAGTATCTTGTGACCAAGATTTTGGGTGTGGGTGTGGGTGTGTGTTTGTGTGCACATGAGTGTATTTGCATGTCCAGATGTGTGTTTGAGGGAGATGGAAGTACAGAAGAGGTTTCTGGAGTCACTTGGTATTTCCCCTATAGGTAATTCTGGATTCCACCAACTTCTACAGATTTTCTCTATTGACACTCTTCCTGAAGCCATCTGTGGTGCAACCAGTCATGGATAAAGGACATTCTGAAGTCACCCCAAGTACATCCACATCAAGTATCAAGAGGAAGACAGTTGAACACTTAAAACCTAAGCCAGACCCCCAAAATAAGATGAGCTTTTTAGCCGGCAGGCCAGTACGGAGGCACATAAATGATGCACATCTATGGAATTGGCTCTGGACCCTGACACAAAAAACACCAGGGTGGAGTTGGCCTTTGCCCCCAAATCATGTGACTTCCCAATCTATAGCCCCTGGGGATTATGATAAATCCCAGAAAATGATGTGGATCAGCAAGTCCTTCCCCTGAAAGAAACATTAAAATTGAAGCTATGTTCTCATTTCTTTCAGTTTGTGTGCTTTGTTCACATGGCCTGTGGACTTCTGACCCTTTTCCATGCTACCTAACGGCCACAAATGTGAACTGTAGCCCCTCACCCTTAGAGATGCTTACTAATATTGCAGAGTCTGGGGAATTTGTAGTCAAATGGGGCACTCCTCAGAGAACCTGGAAAAGCTGCTAAATTGTCAAGAGGAAAATGTCCTACACTTCAAATTTCCTGGTGGAGTGAAGCTTCAACACCTCTTCAGTTGTTTCCCTTGAAGTTTGAGGGAGATGGTGGAAGGCAGAATCACAAATAAAGAATTTAAAATGGGAATGACGGGCCTCCCCGGTGGCACAGCGGTTGAGCGCAGGGTTGCGAAGCTGCCCGCAGCCTCTGCAGCACCGACTCGATCCCCGGCTGCTCCCCGGCCACCTGAGGAGGGTCCCACATGGCGCGCAGACCTCTCCTGCCGCCCGCTGCTCCCCTCAGCAGTGTACTTCGGTCCTTCTGCTCTGCTCTGGCTCTGAGTGAATTCTCTCACCCTCCCGCGCTTCTGACTGTACCCAGTGCTTGTATAAATAAATAAATAAATCTAAAAATAAATAAATAAATAAAATGGGAATGACTGGGAGGATTGGGAGAAGTGCTCTTCTGGTGTAAGTCCTATGCATAAGGACTCAAGGCCTTGAGAGGGAATCTTCAAATGAACCATGAGAGTCCCTACTTTGGAGGGAAAAATGTCAGCTTAAACAGCTGCTCAATTTCAACCAGATAAGGGAGACCGGTTGTGACCCTGACCTCTTGTCCCTACCTGAGCTCAGCAGATTCTGGGGGACAAGTGGTTGCAAAGGGGGAGGGAGGCAGATGTTGGCTGATTCCAAGAGGAAGGGGAATGCCACTTCTCACACCCCTTTCCTGCTGCAGGACCCAGTCTGGGCCAGCCCTGAGACTTTGACGCTGAAAGAATAGAATCATGATGGTTACTGTGGGGGAGAAATACCAACTACTGAACACTGACTGAGTAGAATACCAACATCACCAAAGGCATTCTACTACTGACAGTGATCCAAAAAGGTCATGAAGCTGACTCTGGGATTGATGATGGTGAGCAAAGAACCCAGCAGCATGAACTTGGCTGGGATTATGGGAAAAAAATGACTGGGTTTTGGTCCTGCTTGTTCTATATGACAGTTATACAGACAAGGCAATGACAGACCCTAAATTGAGAATAGTGTTTACATGAGGAACAAACAGAGTCATTGTGTTCAAAGTTTTGTATCCTTAGCTGGGAGGTAAGTATACAGTCAACACACTGTTATCTATACATTTCTGTGCTCCTGATACAGTCCATAAATACAGACAAGGCAAAAGGAATGTAGTGAGGCCAGCAGAAATACCCAAGAGAAAAAGAATGGCGTATAGCACATCCTTCAAATATTTGTGGGAAATAACGATGAGTCTAGAATTCTACGTTCAGCCAAATATTCAAGTGTGAAATTGAATCAAGTGCATTTTTAACATACAAGGTATCTATGTGGGGCTTTCCAGGAAGGAAATAATACAAAGCTATGAATACAAACAGCTTACTTGAGAGGGACTCCTAGGTAGCGCTAGGAGGGTGTGGGAAGTGAGACTTAGAAGGCAGTCAATTAAGACGTGGAGCAGGGGTGATCTAGCAAGTTACCACTGTGAGCAACTGGAGCTTATTCTCTGGGGGCCACTATGGGAAGGTGTATAGAACATACCTCAGATCCATCACAAGTGTAGCTGGAGTATATAGGCCCCCAAAAGCTAACCATTATTACTAAAGAGCTGGCTACTTCCAAGAGCAACAAATCTTGGCACTTCTAGCTGACCTTCTGTCATATCTAGCCTGCTTCAAGGGTGTGGGGAGACCCTTTGACAGAGAGTCAAGGGAGATTTTAGTAAGCAAGCCTTGTGGGTGTAGAGATGAGACCTGGCTTTGAAGAGAAAAAAATCAAAATACTTAAGTCAGTGTCAGAATCTTTATGAAATTGTGTGATCCTTAAAAATATCAATACTCTACTTATTGTGTAAAATTTTCAGTGAACTGGAATTACATTTCCTTTCTAAATATAAATATGTATTCAAAGATTTACCAATTATCATCTTTAGTTAAAAACTAGCTTCAGGAACCCCAGTTCCAGAGAATCTGAGCTATATTTTCAGCCATCTAAGGAATGTTTGTATTGTAGACATTAAAATCTTTTTTTTAAGATTTATTTATTTATGCATACAAGAACTGGGGTCTAGGCCAGAGGTGTGGGGGGCGAGAGGATTCACCAGAGACAGAGCGGGAACCAGAACAGGCAGATCTACTGTGATACACTAATGAGGGGGAGCAGCAGGTGAGACAGGAGAGGTCTGCTGTGCCATATGCAGATTAGCTCCCTGACCAGGGATCCAACTCATGTCACAATGGCTGGCAGTAGCTTGATGGCGCTGACACTTTAACCTCTGCACCACCAGGGAGGCCCTGGATTAGGCTTTATTTTTAAACAAAGATATGGTATAAATACCAAAGAAAAAAATAAACTGGACATCATCAAAGTTAAAAACTTTTGTACATCAAATGACACCATTAAGAAGGTGAAAAAACTATTTCCCTCCAGCACTGGTACCACTGGAGCTCTTCTCTGCCTCTATGGCCAACCAACTCCAGAACCAACTAACACCACGGGCTTGGGACCTGAAAATCCCCCCAGGTTTCCAGGTGCTCAAAGATTACCTGGTGGACGAAAGCTACATTGAGGGCATGTGCCTTCACAAGCAAATGTGGCAGTATTTGAAGCAGTTCCTGGTCCACCACCTGTCGATCTGTACCTGCCCTACACTGGGATAACCACATCAAGTCTTTCAAAAAGGGAAAGGCAAGCCTGCCTCTTAAAGAAAGTTTTGGACAAGTATGGCTCCACTAAATGTGGAAGACACCACAAGAAGTGGAGCTACAGATAGTAAAGATGATGATGACATTGATCTCTTTGGCTCTGATGAGGAGGAAATCAAAGAAGCAAAGAGGCTAAAAGAAGAATGTGAAAAGATAATCCACCGAATGGGAGAAAAAATTGTAAATCATATATCTACAAAGGATTTATATCTAGAATGTATAAATTATTAAAACTCAATAATAAAAGACAAATAACCCAATTAAAAATGGGCAAATGAGGGGCCTCCCTAGTGGGGAGATTACAGGAAATGAGATGTTACAGACAAAGGGTTCGGTATTTCTTTTGAGGAAGGGGGTTCTGTAAATAGTCTATAATCGATTGCCTTGTTGGTTATACAACTGTATGAATACACTAAAAGTACTTTGAATATACATTATATGGGTGAATTGTATGATTTGTGAGTTATAACACAATAAGACTATTAAAACCTCTAATTGGGCCTCCCTATGAAGCTGTCCGCAGCCTCCACAGCCTCTGCAGCACCAGTTCAATTCCCCAGCTGGCCAGGGAGCAACCTACATGGCACAGCAGACCTCTCCTGCCTCGCCCGCTGCTCCCCTCAGCAGTGTACTTCTGTCGATCTGCCTGTTCTGTTCCCCACTCTGTCTCTGGTGAATCCTCTCACCCCCCAGCCCCCACAACTCTGGCCTGTACCCCAGCTCTTGTATGCATAAATAAATAAATCTTAAAAAAATTAAAACCTCTAATTACTAAAATTAAATTTGAAGGTGTGTTTAGTAACTCTAATGTTGTAAGCCTTCCGATTCAAAAGTTACCAATTTTAAAATGAAATCTACTCATAACTCCTTGTTACATCCCCTTTAGCATGAAATAAAGCCTTTCGAGTTCAGTTGTAGCATCAACAAAATCAAGGAAGTAGTCTAAACTCTGCCTTACAGCTGATTTAAATTCAGCAGTTGGTTGATCTTCATCAGTCTCTTCTCATTTCTGAACAACTTCTTTTGTAACCCCAACTTTGCTTTTTTAAAAAGATTTATTTATGCATGCAAGAACTGGGGTGTAGCCAGAGGTGGGGGGTGAGGGGACTCACCAGAGAGAGTGGGGAACAGAACAGGCAGATTGACTGAAATACACTGCTGAGGGGAGCAGCGGACGAGACAGGAGAGGTCTGCTGCACCCTGTGGCTTGCTCCCTGGCCTGCTGGGCACTGAACTCATGCTGTAGTGGCCAGCAGTAGCTTGATAGTGCTGTCTTTAAAACCTGCACCACCAGGGAGGCCCCCAACTTTGTTTTTTGAAGGCAAACTTTTTTTTCCTTCATTCCCATTTAACCACATCTTATCTTCTTCCAAATTGTTTTCTAATTCTCCATACATCTCAAGACATTATCATAATTGCTGTCTTCTAAACCTTTAAGATCATATTCAGGTTCCTTTCTTTAAAGATTGTCTTATGCAATAGCTGTAGTTATTTGTTTTACTTCATCTCAACTTGTCTTCTTGGAGTCTGTGGTCATTTAAAAAAAATTTTTCCCTTTCCATTTAAGTATAAAAGTCATGGTATGTTATTAGGAAAATCAAAGAGTGAATTCTATTTATTTCTTTTTTTTTAAACAGTATTTTTTTTTAAATTAAGTTATGTATACAAGCACTGGGTACAGTCAGAAGCGCGGGAGGGTGAGAGAATTCACCAGAGCCAGAGCGGGGAGCAGAGCAGGCAGAAGGACCGAAGTACACTGCTGAGGGGAGCAGCGGACGGCAGGAGAGGTCTGCGCGCCATGTGGGACCTTCCTCCCCGCTGCCAGAGGCTGCGGGCAGCTTTGCAACCCAGAGCGCAACCGCTGCACCACCGGGGCGGCCCTCTATTTATTTCTATATTTACTCCAGTTAACTATATAATGTACAAATAATTTCTATTGAAGATAACCACAAGGGGGCCTCCCCGGTGGCGCAGTGGTTGAGCGCTGGGTTGCGAAGCTGCCCGTAGCCTCTGCACCGCCGGTTCGATCCCCGGCTGCTCCCCGGCCACCAGAGGAGGGTCCCGCATGGCGCGCAGACCTCTCCTGCCGCCCGCTGCTCCCCTCAGCAGTGTACTTCGGTCCTTCTGCCCGCTCTGCTCCCCGCGCTGGCTCTGGTGAATTCTCTCACCCTCCCGCACTTCTGACTGTACCCAGTGCTTGTATAAATAAATAAATCTTTTAAAAAAAAAAGAAAGAAAAGAAAAGGACTTAGGGTCCTCCATCTACAATATGGAAAGACTATGATTGGGGGCCTCCCAGTGGCGCAGCGGTTGAGCGCTGGGTTGCGAAGCTGCCCGCGGCTCTGCGGCGCGGTTCGATCCCGCTGCTCCCGGCACCGGAGGAGGGTCCCACATGGCGCGCAGACCTCTCCTGCCGCCTCTGCTCCCTCAGCAGTGTACTTCGGTCCTTCTGCCCGCTCTGCTCCCCGCGCTGGCTCTGGTGAATTCTCTCACCCTCCCGCGCTTCTGACTGTACCCAGTGCTTGTATAAATAAATAAATAAATCTTAAAAAAAAAAAAAAGATAACCACAAGGGATAACTGTGCAGATTAATATATAAACTAGGGCCTCTGTGGTGGCACAAGGGGTTAAAGACACAGCACTGTGAGGCTATCTGCAGCTACTGCAGCACTGAGTTTGATCCCCAGGCAGGGAGGTAATCCACATGGCACGGCAGACCTCTCCTGTCTCGCCCGCTGCTCCCCTCAGCGGTGTATTTCATCAGTCTGCCTGTTCTGCTCCCCGCTCTGTCTCTGGTGAATCCTCTCACCTCCCGCATCTCTGGCCTGTACCCCAGCTCTTGTACGCATAAATAAATAAATCTTAGAAAGAAAAAAAAAAAACATCTAAGGGGCTGCTGTTCCTCATCTAGAGAAGGGCCTGACAGGGACGGCACTCCCTCTTATTCAAGTTGGCCCGGGACAAGCCTAGCAAGGCCTAGGGGTGACGGCCCTTACTGGGAGAAGTACCCAGCGGAAAGGGCCTACGGCCACTGAACTCGACGCTGGAACGATCTCGACACACAACATTTAGCAAGTGGGGGATACCAAACAGTGAGTGGCACCTGGAGTCAGGAGGCTATAAGGCTCCCTGGTGATGAGTCGCTTTCGGGGGTCCGCTAGGCCTGGAGACTGAGAACCCTCACTCCTTTTTGCCCCACAGGCTGAAGGGAAAGATGGGAAGGCCCCGGGGACGGCTTCTGACTGGCTGGGCTGACGCCACAGGTCAGGTCATCGGAGAAGGGGGGGGTGCCGGTCACGAGGCCACCGGAAACGCCTCCTCTCTCTCCGGTTGGCGCCCAATCTGCCGACCGCCACCCCAAAATGGCGACTCGGGGGGCGGCTTCCGGGAGCGAGAGGTAGAGGGGCGGGGGGACTGCTCTCTCAAGGCCACTGCTACCGAGTCTCGCTGCTTCTCCGCCCACCGTCGCGCCGCTCGACGGCGCCCCCCGATCGCGGCGGGGCCCCAGAGGGCGCCCTGCCCCGGGCAGCCGGGAGGCGTGACGACCCTCCCCGAGCGGCGGGGACAGGGGCGCGTGGCCTCTCCGTGGGCCCGAGCTGTGTCGGCCACCGAGAAGCTGCCTTTCCCATCGCATTAGGGCCAGAGACGCCCTGAGCGATACCGGCGCCACTTGCGACCATTTGGGGGCGGCCGCGCGGCGGTGAGTAGGGGCGCGGCCCGGAAAGCAGCCCTTTTCCTGTTCGCGGCGGTCTCCGCCAGGCGGCGGGTGCTGTTTTGGGCGAGGCGGATCCTCGGCCTCTGGAGCCGCCGTGAGCGCGCGGAGCCAGCTCGCTGCAGCCTGAGTGCACGGCCGAGCGTGCTGCTGGGCGCGCCGGGAAGCTGGTCCGGACGTCGGGTGGATCCGGGCGGGCAGTGGGCAGGAATTTCTGTGCTGCACCCTTTTGCTCTGGCTTAAGACCCTACCGCTGGAGAAAGGGTCATTTCGGCCGCAAAGACAGTAGTTCCTGTTGACCTCACAGTATAGGAGGGGTCCCCGTACCTGAGCCTGGACTGGCACCGAGGAACCAGCCATTTCTTTGACTCCCCGTCTGCTGAACCCCGTCAGGGAAGATCGGGCTCTCCAGGCCGCCCCCAGCTCTGCTTACGGATCTGCGTGACCCCAGGGAACTGTGAAGTCAGGGGAAGGGCTCCCTTTCGAGGATTCTTCCTGTCTCTGAAAAACTATAATCATCACCTTTTCTATTTCTTTTTTTACTATGTGATATTTGGGTAGTTTGTAAACAAGACCAGCTGCAAGTTTTTTCCTCAATAAAAAGTAAACACACATCTTAATACGCAGGTACAAATCTGCACGGTGCCCTTTACAAGTCTTTCCCAAAAGGATACCCACCCCCCCACCCGCCCAACACACACACCCAGATGTTGATGATACCTGGTTGCCTACTGAGGGATATTTGCTGACAGGAATAAAGTTACTTTATTTTTGTGATCTGCCTGTCTCGGCTCTCCCAGTATTTAAGTCAATGGAAAGGAGAATATGAAAAGTTTCATGAAGCAACGGTTAATCTTCATTAGTTGTTTTGCTCCTAACTAAAGACAAAAGAGTGGGGTGATCTGTTAAAATTCAGAGAATCTCAGATATATCCTATTTGTGAGGATGGAATAGGAAGCAAACAGATTAAGAACTGGATGATCTCAAAGCTCCTTTTAGCAAATGTGAACCAGTATTTTTCTCCCACCAACCTTTTCTAAACCTTAAAAAAAGGTGACCATTTGACATGTCTTCTTTGCCATGCTGTTTCAAAGAAAGGGGAGAAATGTCTGTCCTGAGGTCTTGTGTCATCATGAGTAGCCTAATACTTGGCAGTTGACCTTATAGGGGAAGTGAAGCAGGAACTTTCTTGCTCATCTTCTCTGATAACTAAAAATAGTGAGGCGAGTAAGTATGTGTCTTGTGGATTTTTTTGATGTGTAATTTTTTTCTCCCCTCCCTCAGTGCCCTTGGGGAGAAGATCCACTCGTTGGTTTTATATCAGACCTGACAAGGCCTCGGTTGTCAAAGGTGGCACCAGGAAGATGTCACACACAGGAATAAAACTTTTCCTAGAGGGGATGATAAGGAGACCTCTGAAGGTGAATGCATGTGTGTACCCACACTTGGCAGCTTTGTGGGAGACTAAGGAGTCGGCAAAAGAAAGTTCCAGCCAGAATAAGGAATCCGGCCCACAAGTGGACAATGTTGGTCCTGAAAGTGCTCGTTGCCACTTCCGGAGCTTCTATTACCATGAAGCACCTGGACCACTCGAGGCAGTCTGCCAACTTCAGCGATTATGCCATCAGTGGCTGAGGCCAGAGATCCACTCAAAAGAGCAGATCTTGGAACTGCTGGTGCTGGAGCAGTTCCTGACCATTCTTCCCAGGGATGCCCAGAAATGGGTGCAGAAGTATCATCCACAGAACATCAAAGAGGCTGTAGCCCTGGTAGAACGCTTTCAGAGAGAACCTGGTGGAATAAGTGATGAGGTGAGAAGCACGATTCCTTACATGTGTACTTAAATTGGATAAAGGCAAATATAGTTGGAGGTGGGGTTAACTGGGGAAGGAGATGATCGTGTCACTCTTCTATGCGTTTCAGACAGTTAGGTGAGCTCTGAAGTCACAGACTTCCAGCGATAGTAGTCTAGGTTTCAGAGTTCTTGGACGTCTTTTCTGGCCTTAGAAAAAAGAAATGCATTTTGCCCTTTTTAGGGCCAGGTTGGATTGAGCAGTGTGTCTAGTCTGGCATGGCTGAGGAGAGAAGACTTGAGTTCTTAGAACCAGAGAAATAAAAGGCAAGAAGAAATTGGGAAATCTGAAAAAAAAAAATGGACAGCACTTAGAGATCAAAGGAGAGATTGGGTAGAGAACAGAAGTATGAATCAGAGAAGTCCGGGGAGTTTTAAAAGGGAAAAAATGAAAAGAAAAGAGGGAATCATGGACAATGAAAGAAGAAAAATGACAATTGCGTGAGAGAATCAGTATGCTGAGGGTCATGGCCCTCTGCAGTGGGAGTACACATCTCTGGACTAGGAGAAAGAGACTCCATTGCCCCCCCCCCACCCCCGGCAGTCTGCCAATGGCCTTGCTGGTGAGTAGGGAACCAAGGATGCCCTTGGGAGATGTCAGCATACTTCCTTTCCTCTGTCCACCTTGAGGAATACAAGGCAGGGCATGTATTTCGCATCTCACTGGAACTGATTTATATGGAGGGAAGTTAGAGCCTCACTCTTCCCCTATTTTTCCCCTCCATTATATGAAATCCTCCAGGCCATGGAAGGATTGGAAAATCTGAAAGGAAAACCTTTTCTATTCAAGTCCTTATTTTTTAGCGGATACTAGACGATAGAAATCCATTAACACAGGGATCCCAAGTTAAGAAAACAAGCCAGTGAAAGACAGTGTAAGAGCAGGCAACCTCCTCCCACCCTGTTGGGGGCCTGAGGTGTGGCTGTATGTGGAGGGATAGGGGCTGGCAGGGCCACAGCTTGTTTCATTTTGTCTTAATTTTCCCAGATGATGTGTCTTGTTCTTTGTGAGAAAACAGTACCCCCATATCACTTGCATTTTTATTAGTTCTTTTAATGTCATATACTCTCTGAATTTGGGTTTTTCTCTTGGTCATCCCTCTACCACCACCCCCAAAGTATAAGTAATTCTGTGCTAATGAGGATGGGGATTACTTTTAGGTCACAGTCCATGAGCTGGGAAAGGAGACGTGCCCTTGGGAGGAACAGCAATGGTCCAAGGCTTTAAGCTGAAGCCAACAGAGCACCAGCCAATGGGTGTGTTCCCATTGAAAGATTGTTGGAATACATACCAGGTACTCCAAGAACACCTGGGCTGGAGTACTCACAACAACCCCAGCTTGTATGTGAAAGAGGGGAGGAGCTTCATAATAATTCTGTTCTCTTGGGAGCTATGATAGTAATTGGTCACTGGGCATATTATGCAAATTTGCCAGGTGTCGGGCCATGCTGGCAGTTATGCTCTCTCTCAAGTGAGAGTCCAACAAGCCGATTTGGGTGAAGGTGAGGGTCAGTCGGGGTACAGAAATATCCCAATCACAGAACCACAGAACCCTACCATCCTTGCTCCTACTGTGGACCTTGCTCCTTGAAACTTTGAAAGAAGATGGAACAGGGATAGGTAGGTTCATCTCACCCTTGTAAGAGAAGAAACTGGGAACAGAAACAGGCTGTAAGTGGCAGAATGGGAAGAGAATTGTGCACCAGGTAAAAAAAGAAAAGGTTCCCACATTTCCTACCATACACTGGAGGACTGTGTCTTTCATGTTCAAGTGCCTGTCATTCTTACCCAGCTCAGTGAAAGATTTATTTTGTGAAAGGAAAAAAAAATACTAATTTCCTTTTTTAAATTTCTCTCATGACATCTGGGGAACCGGTTCTATAGAGTGGTGGATATTAGGTTCTTTTTTTTTTTTAAGATTTATTTATTTATGCATACAAGAGCTGGGGTACAGGCCAAAGGTGGGGGGTGGTGAGAGGAATCACCAGAGACAGAGTGGGGAACAGAACAGGCAGATCGACTGAAGTACACTGCTGAGGGGAGCAGCAGGAGAGTCAGGAGAGGTCTGCTGCGCCATGTGGGTGGCTCCCTGGCTGGGGATCAAACTCATGCTGCAGGGGCTGTGGATAGCTTCATAGGTTGCATCTTAACCCCTTGCGCCACCAGGGAGGCCCAGATATTTGGCTCTTAATTACAATGAGATGGCTACTTGTTGGACACACACATACACACACAGAGTTGTAAAGGTGAGCCATCTTTACTGATGTGTCCTGATCTATATTTTAGGAATCAGCAGCTCAGAATATTCATAAACAGAAAAGAGAAATTTTCTCTGGCTCTTTTCCATCTACAGCTCTGCCTACTCAACAGATTCTAGCCCTTTCTGGGCAGAAAAACACCAAAAACTGGAAGATGGTGTCTGAGTTCATTCTGCCTAAGTTCCAGGTGAGCTGTACTTTACAACCTTTTCAGGCAGCTTGAAAATGGCCTTATCTGTGCTTTTTCCTGCTGCCTATCACCCTGACAGGGTCTTTGAGACGTGTTAGCTACAGGTGTTCTCCTCTAGGCATCTAGGCTTGGCACCGTGGGAATTGGGCACTTCCCAAGTTGTTTACACATCTCTTTGGCTCCTTCCTTTCCTACCACCTCACTTTCCCCCCAAAAAAGCATATACTCCACTTTTTCAGTGACTGGGCTGCTGTGTAATAGAGAGAAGTGATATAACTGCTTCTGAAGTGGCAAGTACTAAACTACACCCCATTTTCTTCTTTAGAGTTTGTTGACATTTGAAGATGTAGCCGTGTCTTTTTCCGAGGAAGAGTGGAAATTACTGGATCATACTCAGAAGACCCTTTACAATGAAGTAATGCATGAAAACTATGAAACTGTCATCTCTCTAGGTAAAGATGCTTCCTTTCTTCTGTGTAGAAGTTGAGTAATCTCTTAGGTCCTCAATTTATGGAAAATGCATCCATGTGAGAGTCCCAGTGTTCCAGTAGCTGGCTGGGTCTCAACTTCATAGTGTGGGGGAAAGGAAAGGCATATCCCGATCACCTGGAGATCATTTTAGAAATACATGTGTCACTTCTTTATTCTAAATGGAATTCTTCATCTATTATATTCCCATCCTCCCCTTCAAAGCTGTTATTCCCATATCTCTCCCATCTCAGTAAAGGGCACCACAATTTACCCAATTGCTCAGGCCCAGAACCTCTCAGTATCCTTTATTTAGTTTTTCTGTTATATCCCACAACTGATCCCACCCCGTTACCAACCTGTGCTAACCTCTGATCTGCTTTACATTTCTAAAATTTTGCAGTTGTAAAAAGTATTATATGGATAGCATCATAAAGTGGGATTAGCTATTTAAGTGGATTTTTAACTGTTGTATTTTGAGAGTTCTGTATCTATTCTGGATTCTAGTGCTTTGTTGGATATGTGGTTTGCAAATAGTTTCTCCAAATCTATATTGTCTATTTATACTCTTCTCATGGGCTACCATAGAGTAAAAATTTTTAATTTTGATGAGGACAGTTTTTCATTTTGTCCTTTGAGAGATGGTGTCAAGTTGAGAACTCTGCTTACCCCTAGATCCCTAATGATTTCCCTAAAAGTTTTATATTTTTTACATTTTAAGTATATGATCCATTTGAAGTTTATTATATAAAATGTAAAATTTAGCTTGAGGTTCTTTTTTTCTTGCCTATGGAGGGCCAGTTGCTTTAGCACCATTTGTTGAAAAGTCTATTCTTCCTCCATTGAATTACTTTTATACTTTCGTCAAAGATAAATTGATCATATTGGTGTGTATCTATTCTGTTCCATGGAGCTATGTGTCTGTTCCCCTGCCTATAATATTATACCATCTTGATTACTCTAGTTGTATATAAAGCCTTAATATCTATCAGGTAGAATAAGTCTTTCTAGTTTGGTCTTCTTTACCAATATAACATTTCATTTTAGCTATTCTATATAGTCTGTGCCTTTCCTTGTAACTTTTATAGTAAGCTTATCTATGTCTATAAGAAACTTTGTTGGGGGCTCCCTGGTAGCACAAGGGGTTAAGATGCAACCTATGAGGCCATCTGTAGTCACTGAAAGCACAAGTTCGATCCCCGGCCAGGGAGCAACCCACATGACACAGCAGACCTCTTCTGACTCACCCACTGCTCCCCTCAGCAGTGTATTTCAGTCACTCTGCCTGTTCTTTTCCCAACTCTGTCTCTGGTGAATCCTCTCAGTCCCCCACACCTCTGGCCTGTACCCCAGTTCTTGAATGCATAAATAAATAAACAAATCTTAAAAAAAAGAAAGAAACTTTGTTGGGATTTTGCTAGAAATTACATTAAATTCATGTATTAGTTTAAGGAGGATTACTATCTTTACAATGTTGATTCTTCTAACGAGTGAACACAGTATGCATCCCTCTTTATTATTTATCCTGTGATTTATTTCATCAACTTCTTTGTAGTTCTTAATGTACAGATCCTCTACATGTTTTACTAAATATATACCCAAACATTTCATTTCACCCAAACATATCATTTGCAGATGATATTATTTTTAATTTTGATTTCTACATGTTCATTGTTTTATATGGGAATGCCACTGAATGCATGTTTATTTATTTATTTATTTATTCATTCATACAAGAGTGGGGGTGTAGAGCAGAGGTGGGGGAGCGATGAGAGGATTCACCAGAGACAGAGTGGGGAGCAGAACAGGTGGATCCACTGAAATACACTGCTGAGGGAAGCAGTGGGTGAGACAGGAGAGGTCCTCTGTGCCATGTGGTCCAGCTCTCCAGCCAGGGATCCAACTTGTGCTGCAGTGGCCTCGGGATAGCTTCATAATGCTGAGACTTAACCCCTTGCACCACCAGAGAGGCCCTGAATGTGTGCTTTGATCCTGTATCCTGTCACCTTATTTATTAGTTGTAAGTTTTTTTGTAGATTCCTTTGGAATTTTATACATAGACAATCATCTGCAGTGCCTTTTATTTCTTTTTCATAACTTACTGCAATAGCTCCAAATTGCTATTGCAATAAGAGTGGTGAGAGCAGACATCCTTGCCTATACCCAACTTTATCATGAAAAATTAGGTCTTTCACCATTATCTGTGATGTTAGTTCAGGGTGATTTGCTGAGACGCTTTATCAAGTCAATGTAAGTCCCAGCCTTTCAGTGTTTTTATCATGAATGCAATATGGGATTTGTGAAATACTTCTGTGCCAGTTGATAGGAGTATGATCAGCCTTCTTTAGCAGGTTGCTTGATATCAGACATTGAACCAGCTTATCATACCTGCAATAAGTTCTGCTTGACCATGGTGTATTTGTATTATTCCTGCATATTATTACATTCAACTTACCAATATTTTGTTGAGGAGTTTTACATTACATATACAAGAGATGTTAGTCTGTAGTTTCTTTTGTAATGCTGTCTTTCTGTGGTTTCTCTATCAGGGTAATATTGACCTTATAAAATGAGTTGGGGGCCTCCCCAGTGGTGCAGCGGTTGAGCACTGGGTTGCGAAGCTGCCCGCAGCCTTTGCAGTGCCAGTTCGATCCCCGGCCGCCGGGGTGAGGGTCCCACATGGTGCGCAGACCTCTCCTGCCGCCCACTGCTCCCCTCAGCAGTGTATTTCTTCGTCAGTCTGCCTGTTCTGTTCCCCACTCTGGCTCTGGTGAATTCTCTCAACCTCCCGCGCTTCTGACTGTACCCGGTGCTTGTATAAATAAATAAAATAAATCTTTAAAAAAAATAAAATGAGTTGGGTAGTATTTCCTCCTCCTCTTTATAACATTGGTGTTAGTTTTTTAAATATTTGATAGAAACCAATGGCAGCATATGGACTTAAAGGTTTTTTTTTTTAAGTTTTAAATTTATGAATTCAGTTTCCTTAATGGTCACAATACTATTCAAATCATCTATTTTATATTGGTTGAATGCTGTTAGTTTGTGGTTTGGGGGGAATTGGTCTCTTTTTCCTAACTTGTAAAATTCATAAAGTTGTTTTTGAGTATTTCCTTATTATCTTAATTGCTGCAAAACGTATAGTAATGTACCTTATTATTTCCTTCCTGATATTGGCGATTTGTGTCTTCTCTCCTTTTATTTTTGTGAATCTTTATAGAGTTTATGAAAATTTTAGATAATTTTTTAAAAGAGCACACTTTCGTTAGATTTCTACTGTGATCTTTATTATTACCTTTCTTCAAATGACTTTCATTTTGCTTTTTTCTAGTTTCTTGAGGTAGGAACATAGAAGATTGATTTGAGACTTGCCCCCTTTTCCTCTTAGCACTTCTTTAGCTGCATTACACATATTTTTATATATTATGATTTCACTTTCATTCAACTATACATATACATTTACTTTGAGACTTTCACTTTAAACCAGGGATTACTGAGAAATATGTTGTTTTGGGGCCTCCCCGGTGGCACAGCGATTGAGCTCTGGGCTGTGAAGCTGCCCACAGCCTCTGCAGCGCCCGTTCAATCCCTGGCCGCCGGTGAGGGTCCCACATGGTGCGCAGACCTCTCCTACTGCACCCGCTGCTCCCTTCAGCAATGTATTTCGGTCAGTCTGTCTGTTCTGCTTCCCACTCTGGCTCTGGTAAATTCTCTCACCCTCCCGCACTTCTGACTGTACCCAGTGCTTGTTTAAATAAATAAATCTTAAAAAAAAAAAGAATTATACTGTTTCATTTTCACATTTTTTTACAGTTATTCTGTTGTCTTTCTGTTTTTAATTTCTAGCCTGATTCTATTTTTGTCAGATTGCCTTTTCTCACTTAAGTTGTGAGTTTTTTGGTTCTTGGTCTGATGGGTGATTTTTCTTTATTGTATCCTGTTTTTGTTTATTATGGTAGGAGAGTCTGATTCTTATTTAAATAATTTAATGGACAATTAGTCCGTTTTAGTTTAGCACATAGGTTCTTTCCTGTTTTGGGAGGGGGTGTCCTTCCAATTACAGCTTAATTTTCAGCATTATATGGTATTATTTTTGTCTTCTTGATTTATATAATATTGCTCAGGGTCCCAAGTTTCCCTGCTGGTGCAACCTGAAAGTGAGGAAGTGTTTACGAATTCAAGAGTATTCTCTCTTTGTTGTCTCCTAACCAGGGTTCTAATGTTGTTAAAATTCCCATTCAGCTTGAAAAAGAAGTAAGCCTCCCAGACAGTCTTCTGTTGCTAGGTTGAAAGAAAACACTAGATCTAAGTTTCTTCCTTCTGTTGGTTATATGGATGTAAGATACACTAATGTTATTTTTATAGTCTTGTGGTCCCAAATCATCTTGCCTTTGCCACTTTTTCAGAATTCTCTATTGCTTATCTCTTGCATTATTTAATGGGTTTGTTGTAGTGCCTTGACAAGAGAATCAGGTGGAAAATGGGCCCATGCCACGTTGGACCTGAAATTACTTTCTGAAGTGTTTTTAAAAAAGCAATCATTAAAATTTCTCTTCATTCTTGTTGTTTTCCTATTTTGGGACATAGATGCCTGATTCTTCTGCTTATTCCACAGGGTTAAAGCTCAAAAATGATACTGGAAATGACAAACCTATCTCTGTTTCTACAGTAGAAATACAAGCATCAGGGTGCAAAGTATTACAAAAGGCCAAAATGAAAGTTTCTCAGAAAGCAGCAGGCAAAGAAAATCATGGTGGTAAATGCAGAGCACAGAAACGGCATCAAGCCTTTCCGGGGAAGAAAAGAAGGAAACCTTCAACTTGTAAACAAGAGCTTCCAAAATGCGTGGATCTTCAAGGGAAAGGCAATGTAGAAGAAAAACCTTTTAAATGTCAGGAGTGTGGGAAAAGCTTCAGAGTTAGTTCTGACCTCATTAAGCACCAGAGAATTCACACTGAAGAGAAACCTTATAAATGTCAGCAATGTGATAAGAGGTTTAGATGGAGTTCAGATCTTAATAAGCACTTAATGACCCACCAAGGAATAAAACCATATAGCTGTTCATGGTGTGGGAAAAGCTTCAGTCATAACACAAATCTACACACACACTTAAGAATCCACACAGGTGAGAAGCCCTTTAAATGTTATGAATGTGGAAAAAGGTTTATTCAGAACTCTCACCTTATTAAACACCAGAGAACCCACACAGGTGAGCAGCCTTACACTTGTAGCATATGCAGGAGAAATTTCAGCAGGCGGTCAAGCCTTCTTAGACACCAGAAACTTCACAGGAGAAGAGAATCATGTCCAGTGTCTCCAGTCTGAAGAAAGTCACCATATGGAGCTTGACCCCAGACATCATGAAAGAATACAAAATTATGAGGCATCCAATGATAGGAATCTCATCAACAGAAAATTCGGGAGGGGTATATAACATGCTTCACAGAAAAGTGACTACGCTATTTGTTTTAGTCAGCATTGTGTCTTCAGTGCCTAGCACAAAAGCGATCAATAATAAATACTTTATAAATAAAGGAATGAAATACAGCTTATCATATCTCTATAGCTATCTGTGTGGTTATTCAGCTTCCTCATCCCCCCCCAATCTACATTTTAAAAATACTAGGTGTTTAGCAAATACATGATGTTCATGAGCCTTCCCCAGGAGAGATGGACTTTAAAGTATCCAGGTCCTTAGAAGTGAGTGCAGAGAGAATTACTAAGTTGTTGACAGTTTCTATGGCTAACATTCTCTTTGCATGAAAAACCAAGCCCAGGGCAAGAGAGGATTTGTTGTTTGCTCTGGAAGACATGTCTCCATTATAATTGCCTCTACCCTGAGTGCCCTCTTTGCAATGTTTTCTGTCCAGAAATTCTAGGCAGCAGGTGAAGGCCTGAATGCCAATATAGACCTATGAATCTTACAAGCACTTGATATCTCCTTATTCTTTCAACACTGAGGTATATAGGATGAAATTATAAAGAAAGCAGTGTGTGGTATCTCTCCCTTTGTGGAAAGCACAGGGAAGTAATAAATGGTGTTTTGTTTTGTTTTTTTAATACACATAGGGTAAGGTATGGGGAAAGAAGGCTGGAGTTTCCATTCCCTTTCTGGGAGAGCCACTCTCCCAGCACCACTGTGTGCTGACCAACCTAGAAACTCTGAAACCTACCTGTATCTTTGGGAATTTTTATGGAGGCGTCACCACATCTGCATGATCATTAACTTGTTTTTCAGTCTAGTTCTCCTCCCTGGAGGATGGGGGTTGAAGCTAAATGTTCTAAACTGTTAGCATCCAAAATGAAAGGCATAGCAGGCTGCCCTAAACCTGCATGCTCTAAATGGATTCTGCCATTACAAAACCATGATCACTGACTAGTCCACAACCTGAAGATATTCAGGAGCCCACTACAAGTTGCCTCACTAGAACATCAGAATTTCCTATCGCCCAGGAAATTCCAAGGGATTTAGGAGCTCTGTGTCAGGAATCAGAATCAAAGACCAAATATTATGACAAAAGATGTTCATAGTGAGATTGGAGGGGTTCTGGGACAGGGATAGGACTCAAAGATAGAACTTTGCTGTTCCCATTGTTTTTGTTAGACTGGTAAACAAGAGGTTAAATAAATCTGACTCGAGGTCCAGATGCCTGCTACCATAAATTTCCTTGGCCCATTGTGTAATTTTACTAATTTTTCTTCAACCAGTGAACTCCTGAGCTATCTCTATTACATTTATCAAGTTAGCCTGTTGAAGACAGGAGCTATAGGCCTTGAGAGCAGATCAGCTCAAACTGGAGCTGTAGACACACAGCCAAGAGATGGCCACCCAAGAGATGGTCACAAGTTCTGTGACAGACCACAGAACTACAGCTGATTGTTGCTCACAGCTAGCAACAATAAACGGACTGCACTCAGATGGACACGTGGACTTTAGTCAAGTCCACTCTCCTGTTCTCAGTCAATAAAGTTTGTTTTCCTTTGTTCTGAAACCCCATTCCTAACCTATAGAGATCCTTAGTCTTAGCACCTCAGAGACCTTTTTTGTTTAAGGAGATCTCTCTGGGCTCTATCTCTTGTTCAGTTGTTTTTCAGTAAATCTCTTTAACCAGTGTCTTGAGTTAATCATTCTAATTTTTTTTAAAGATTTATTTATTTATACAAGAACCAGGGTACAGGCCAGATGTGTGGGAGGGTGAGAAGATTCACGAGAGACAGAGCGGGGAACAGAACAGGCAGACTGACAAAATACACTGCTGAGGGGAGCAGCAGGCTGAGACAGGAGAGGTCTGCCGCACCGTGTGTGACCCTCGACGGCCGGCTGGGATCTAACCAGCGCTCCAGAGGCTGCAGAGAGCTTCATAGCGCTGTGCTCAACCGCCTGCGCCACCAGGGGAGGCCCTCATCATTCTAATCTTAGTCTCAAACTACTCAAGGGCCTGGATTTCTTTTGGGAAAATGATGGACTAGGGCTTCTAGACTCCAAGCAGGTGAAATGGAGGTTGCGGAAGTGGGGCCAGGAGACTGAGACTGGAAGCACTCTTGTGCCAGGACCTGCATCCGTTTCTGGTTACACTAGTGTTCTTACCACTTAGGGCATTACAAAGCTTTCAGGGGTCCTGTGCCAGAAACTGGGGGCAGAAATTTATTTATATATATATATATAATATGTAATAATATATAATATCAATATCAATATTGGTATATATTATATATTAATATTTATAATTATATAATTATTAAATATATGATGTTATTGTATATAAATATGTTATATATTATATAATATAAAGCTATTATAAATATATGTGAATAAACATATTTATTATTGTATAATATATTTGATGTTATATATTTATTATGTTCTATACATAGTATAGTATATTTTATATAATATATAAAATATATAATATATAGTACATATTATATGATATATATGTATAAATATATAGAGAGAGGAGAGGTGATGGGGTTGATATATATATATATGTGTGTGTATATATATATTTCCCCCCAATGTATGTATATATAGTCTATTATTTTACATTCAATTTCTGCTTTGTATATTTGAAAGTAGTGACGACACAATATTCAAATACTTCAAAACCCAGTGTTTATCCCCACTAAAAACAGGGCTGCATATAGTTGAAGTGATGATAGCTAAATATTTTTGGCTTTGAAACTCCACTAGGGATTCGACCTTTATATTATCGAATTAATATCTTGCTGAACAATTCTGATTTTATTTTTAATTATTTAGGTAACGGTTTACAACATTGCATATGTTTTAGGAGTACAAGTCCACACCGCTCCAAATGCATGTTATCACACCAGGCCCACCACCAAAGCACAAATAATCCTCCATAGTCAGAATACCTCCTTGCTTTGTTCCCCATTTACCTTTGAAACATCCAAAAGCAAAACTATTATAGATAGCATGTTACAAATTTAACCAATTATTTTTACCTATAATGGTGCAAAACAAATTGTGCAATTCTGTATCACTTTTCCACTAAAATGTCATGCATCATAATACAAATCCAGATTTCTGGTATGTTACAGGAGGAAGAAAAGGTCAATACATATCAGGATGGTAATCTTTTATGGGTCTTCCATCCCCCCCAAAGTCCACAGAGTGATACATGAGTTACGTTTTTGTAAAGAACTTAAAAGAAATCCCCTAGAAGTAGTAAGAATTTCCACAGATCAGTAGGGGATGAAACTTCAGAGGAAAAGGGGAATGGAAGTCAGACAACCTGTTACTAAATGAACCAAACTATTGATAAATTGCTAAGACCAGAAATGCATATGCAAAGCTGGGGGGTAGGGACAAGCAGGCATGGAGTTCCCTCCAGAAGCAGGAGGAGGAAGAAGCAGAAATGGTAATTTTGTTTCTACTGTTTCTGCTGCTGAAGATAGTCATGGAGGCAGTTATTTTCCAGTGAAAACTACTGAACATAAGCCTCTCCTTTATGGCTAAGATTTTGTGAAATAGAAGTATGAGACCATGACCCCCTCCTATTCAATTTTTGTTTCTCATATTTTCTCCTCCTTTTCCCCTCTTTTCTCTTTCTTTTTATCCTCTGTTGTTGGAGACATAATGGACCAATAAAACATTGTGTAGGTTTAAAAGTGCACAAAGTGAAGATTTGATACTTGCACGTATTGCAAAACAGTTATCTCAATGCAGTTAGTTAAAACCTCCATCATTTCACACAATTATCTTTCTCTTAGACAACATTTAAGATTTACTTATAACATTTTCTTTTATTCCTCCTGTTTTCTAGTTCCAGACACATACTTATATATACCTCCAAGGAATGTTGTAATGATTCAATATTATTATGCATGTGGAAGAAAAACTGAACCATCCTTTCCTTCTTTAAAAAAAATATTTACTTCCTTAGCAACTTTCAAGTATATAAAGCAGTTTGTTAACTTTACTTACTCTGCTTTGTGATAGATCCTCAGAACTTACTTGTCTTACAAGTGTTAGTTCATAGTCAGGGCCAACATCTACCCATTCCCCCCACAGCTCACCCCCCAACCCAAGGAAACAGCACTGTTCTGTTTGTCGAGTTTGACTTTGCTAGATTCCACAGTTAAATGAGATCACACAATATTCTGCTTAGTTCTTTATTTCTCTCAAATGTGAGTTTTCTCATGTCTCACAGGGTGTAAGCTCCAAAAAACTCATAAACGCAAATTTCAGAGCAACAAGAACCAGAAGAATCCACAGAGCTTTTATTAAAATGACCTCGTGTAGCCCACCTAAGAGCCATCGCCTGGGGGTGTGGGGTGTGGCCAAGAAATCTGAATTTTTAATACCCCCCTTTACTGAGCCAGAGAGGGTAGAGAATCCTGACCCGGTCAGAGGACATTAACAAGAGCTCCCCCACCCACACCTGCATCTCAGCCTCAGGCAGAACTTGCCGGTGCAGCCCGTCCAGAATCTCCGGGAAGAAAACACGGAATCTGCTTTAGTGACTTGAAGTCAGAGTGAGAGTCTAGTCGAGGTCCGACTCCCTGCTGCAAGCACCGGGACCCATGGGAGAGCTTGGCGCACCAGAGACACGGAGGTGGTGAGACCTGCAGCATCAGAAGGCAAGGACTCCCTGGAGGCAGTGAGCACCGGTAGGAACTACACGGCGGGCCCTTGTCCTTTCCTGGGGCGCGGGCGCTGGTGGTGGGGCTCCTCCACGGGACAGGTTTCACAGGCACTGGCGCCTCTGCCCAGACCTGGCGCCAGGCGCGGGAAGGTGTGATGAGCGCGGGTAGGAGCGTTGGGGAGGGGTAGGGACCACGGTCCGCAGAGCTTTGTCAGTCCTTCGAGTGGATCTCCGACCCCGGAGTTTCTTCACAAGTCAGAGGCACGGGAATTGGCGCGTCCATCCGTGACCCCGCGGCTGGCTTGGGTAGGAAGGGTGCCACGAAGCCTCTTCCAAGCGCGCCGGGAAAATGAAGTCCGGATCCCGGAGGCCCTGTGCAGCCAGGACACCTGGGCAGGTATCAGGAACCAGCTGGGCCCCGAACCGCGGGAACTGCCGCCTTCTGCTCTGACACCACCTGTGAGCACCAATACCTGCACCTAAGAGCGCGCGCGTGTCGGGCTGGGTCCCAGCCACCGCTCCCTACAATCAGCAAGGGCTACCGCGCTGCTCCAGGACTGGGAGCACCCCTACGGGCAGCAGGAAATCCCCGCCCAGGAGCACGCCAACGCCTCACAGGCGCCCAGGCACTCTCTGTTCACAGGCTTATTGGCTCTTAGAGATTTGTCCCCCCTGACTTTCCCGGGATGCCCTCTTTTCACACACCTCTATCCCTTGTCTGTGAGTGCAGGTGCCTTGAGTAGATTTTGGGGAGAAGAAATCAGCTCCGCGGGGAAGATTTCTTCCCAAAGGGCCGCTGGAGGGAAGCAGGGTCGGGCCCTGGTAGATACAGGGGAGGGTTTGGGTCAGTCAGGGGAGGGCTGCCCAGCTGTGAGGCTGCCTTGGATGAAAGGTGGGGCCACAGCCCAAACCGCAAGATCCTGGGTGCCCTCCAGCCACGGTGGGGGCCTCCCGCTGGGGGAAAAAAAAAAAAACTTCTAGTAACCAGTCCTCAGGAGCAGTAAACTTTCTTGAGTGTTTTCTCTGTGCCAAGCACATTTGCTTTCCATGGAGTCAGATCCTGATCCGGGGCGGGGCATTTTATGAAGTAGATACTGTGGTTATGCTCCGGAGGCAGAGGGAAGCACCAGGGCAGGGTTGCACAAGGTTATCAAGCCTAAAAGATCAATTGGCGGAGCTCCCTGGTGGCACAGACGGCTGAGCGCAGCGGTGTGAAGGTGTCCGCAGCTTCTGCGGTGAGTGTTCCATGCCAGAGCCGGGGAGATTCCCTCATGGCGTGGCGGACCTCTCCTGTGTCGCCCGCTGCTCCCCTCCACAGTGTGTTTCAGCCACTCCGCCTGTTCTGCTCCCCGCTCTGTCTCTGGTAAATCCTCTCACCCTCCCGCACATCTGGCCTGTACCAGGCTCGTGTATAAATAAATAAATCTAAAAAAATTATAAACAAAATAATAAAAAAATAAAAGGGGCCTCCCCGGTGGAGCAGTGGTTGAGCGCTGGGCTGCGAAGCTGACCGCAGCATCTGCAGTGCCGGTTCGATCCCGGACCACTGGGTGAGGGTCCCACATGGTGCGCAGACCTCCCCTGCCGCCCGCTGCTCCCCTCAGCAGTGTACTTCGGTCCTTCTGCCTGCTCTGCTCCCCTCTCTGGCTCTGGTGAATTCTCTCACCCTCCGCCCTTCTGACTGTACCCAGTGCTTGTATAAGTAAATAAATAAATCTTAAACAAACAAATAAATAAAAGATCAATCGGCTGCCAAGTCCAGGAGAAGGTCCGGGTGAAGGGGAATATGGGGACACAGAGTGGATGTGCATGACTGGGTGGGAAGTCAGGAGGGTTTTTCACTTGTCCCCACTCCAGGAAAGGGAACAAGTACCCGAGCTTTTCAACAAATACAGGGAGAGGACCCATGGCAGGTGGGCAGGTCCCGCCTTGTCACCTGTGGACACATGCATGTGACCAGCTCTGTGACCTCTGAGTTGAACTAAGAACATCTGCCTGTTGTTCAGAGAGCGAGCCTTGCAGGGGTCTATGGATCGAACCTCATCACCATTTCCCTGGCACTGACTTTGTGACCTGGGACGATGTGTTCAGTTCCCCTGAGCTCAGACCTCAGTCCCCTCATCTCTATTCTGTACCTCTAGTTAGTCCTCACCTCCTGACACTGGGTGGGGCTAAATGAACCCCGAGGGGGGTAAGAACAGCCCCTGCACAGAGCAGGATAAGTGGGATAAATGTCCTTCCTTATGAACGCAGACCAGAGTCCCACTGCCTGCCCAGTTGCTGTGTCATTGTCTCATGACACAGCCCCTTGGCATGCTATTGCAGCATGAGGGTCAAGGGATGTTGGCTGAAGTGCAGGCACCAGGGGAAAAGCAAGAGGGGCTGATCATTTGCTGCTGTTGCAGAGCAGGGCTCTAGCCTAAGAGTCTGTGACTGAAGGTACTCAGAGTTGCTCAGAGCTACATGTGTTATAGGACAGCCCTGATATTGAACGGGTTGCCTGGCTGTGGGTCCTCACCCGCGCACTTACAAGGGACTTATGAATACTCCACTACAGGCACTCACAAAAGGTTAATAAAAGGTTTATTTACAAGGGAAAAGGAAAGAAGGAAAATGGACAACTCAGGGAGAAAATAGGGAAATAAAGTCTTTAATGTGTCCTACCCGATCCGCCGACCTGGAAACCCAAAGTCACTCTCAGAGCTGGCCGGACGCTGCGAGCTGGCGGGGAGCCAAAATGGGGGACCCCCTCCAAAGCCCACGTGTCTGGCTTTATATCAACCTGGCTGCTTCACCCCACCCTCAGGTCCCAGCCACCTTCCCTTTGGTGGGGATGGGATTTGGAGTTCCCAGTGTCTTTGGCTTTGGCCTGGGGTGGGAGTGGAGTCCACAAAATCTGTATGGAATTAGCTTTAGGACATTCTTTCCCCCTAACACATGGACTTTCAGGGTTATTCACCAGTGTTGTGTGCATTGCTGCCCCATTTCGCTTGTGGCTTAGCAATCTTCAGAACCACAAGAGAATTGCTGCTAGCCTGGGAGTGGGGGTAAGGCCGGCACATTCCTTGGGGGTCATGGAAGTCATGGGGTTCTAGCCGGGGGTCCGTGGAATTCTGGAAGAGCTGTCCACTAGAGAATTCTGCAAGAATGTCTGCTGAGCACCGGGAATGTGGCTCATGTGACTGAGCTACTGAGTTTTCAGTTTTGATGAATTGAACCTGAAAGTGTCACAGGGAACTAATGTCTACTGTATCTGACAGCACAGTTCCAGAGGGTCTGTGTATGGTCTTGAGCATCATGCGGATGTTTTTGAAACTGGCTGCAGAATTGTGTGTGTGCATTTTCTAGGAAGAGAAACCAGATTGTCAAAGCCACCAAAAAGAGAATGAGCAGCTGCTTTAGGGCTTTGGTGAAAAGTAAGCAGGTTGAGGGGGTAAGTATGCCCTCTGGTAACCACTCCTGTTTCTCCTTTCTCATTTCTTCCTGCCCTCAGCTGTAGGTGGCTCCCCCTGACCTCTAAAGAAAGAAAGAAATTGGAGTCTGAGACTTGAGGCCCCAGAGAAACTGTAGACTGCCAGCAGGGGGCGATGGCTGTGGCCCTGGGTTGTGCGATCCAGGCCTCCTTGAATCAGGGCTCCCTGTCTCAGGAACATGATACTGACAGTGAAGTCTTCCGTCAGCGCTTCAGGCAGTTCCAGTACAGAGAAGCAGCGGGGCCTCATGAAGCTTTCAACAAACTCTGGGAGCTGTGCTGTCAATGGCTGAAGCCAAAGATGCGTTCCAAGGAACAAATCCTGGAGCAGCTAGTGCTGGAGCAATTCCTAAGTATTCTGCCCCCAGAGATAGAGACCCGTGTGAGGTCATTTGGCCTTCGACCTACAGAAATGATGTTGGCATTCATAGAAATCTTACAGTTGGAACTGAAGACACCAGAGCAACAGGTAGGAAAAAAGAGAGGTTAGTGGAAATTAGACCAGGACTATCACGCAACCACAGTCTGATTCAAGATTTTTTCATTGTCTTTCATTTTTCTCTTCTAAAATGAGCACATGGGTCAGTGCGTCTCACTTTTTACTCAAGATCTGTACCCTAACAAATACGGTGTAGTATCCCCTAAAAGTCCTTAAATGAAATTCACAGATCCAACACCTACAAGTCTCATGCATGCAAAACCTAAATATTAAGAACTAGGGACCCAGGTCCAGTCCTGGCCTGTTTCATATGCCCTTTCCTACTACTGCACTGTGTTCCTACTGTGAAGTTGCTTCGAAAAGGGATGGAAAGAGAAGCAACGGTACAAATGCACGCCCCTCCCCCTACAAAATGTTAGTGTTACTTTGGCTGTACGTAAGGAAATTTGCCAGCCCCGAGTCCAGTAGAGTCTGAATGGATATCTAGGCAGGAAGAGGCTGGCAGCTGATTATGAACTAACAAGCATTCAGCAAGTTTGAGGATGGCCACACTTGATGATGACACCTGGGAAGGTGCCAGGCTGCCTGTAACCTGAGGGAGCCCCACTCTGAGCCAGGTCGCTGCTGGTCACGTGATTTCCAAAGTGGCAAGTAGCTCCTGGTCCGTCTGCACTATTAACACATAGGGTAGGTTTCCTTTGACTTCCACAGAGGATCATTCCTGTGAATGTCAAGTTATGCAAAAATTATTCAAAAGAAAGGAATTTTAAGTTTATGAGCAACAGTGAGGTTGTTCACAGGTTCTTTTTAACAGTACCCCATGAGGACGGGCACTAGCCTGCGTTCGGTACTACCTAGTACAGCCTCTCTTGGCAGTAGGCCATAGCTGAGCACAGGGTAAACTCTTTGGGACAAGAAGGAAGTGCTTCTGGGTGGGCATGAGGGACACACAGCCTGTGTGTTGATGGGGCTCTCCCGTTAGACCATCTGAACAGGAGACTCACGGACTATTCGGTACCCCTAGCATGGAAGGAGTTCATGGTTTTCCTGCCTTTGTCTGCCTTCTTGGTTTGGTTCACCTGTGAGATTTTACAGTGTAGTCTAGTCAGGCACTGCCCAGTATGGTAGTTCTAGCCAAGGGGGGCTCGTGAGCCCTTTCAACGTGGCTAGTTCAAAGTGAGTTCTACTGAGTGTCCCCCATTTCAGAAGATTCAGTGTAATGAATGAAGTAGGGGAACTCTCTCAATAATTGCTAACATTACATTCTTAAGCTCTGATTGCTAGCTATATTGGGTTAGATCATACATGTTCAAATTGATTTCAAGTGTTTCATGTTTTCATCCTATGGCTACCCCCACATGTAACATGACAGGGTGGCTGGCATGAAATGCCCCTGGGCAGTGCTGGTGTTGATTTTACAGTGACGAATTCTGGCATTTCCCCCAGATCGATAGCCAGGAAATGTTCTTGGAAGAACTGGCACCAGTGGGAATGGAACACATTCCACCAAACATGCACCTGGACTCAGCCCCGCTCCAAGTGATGGGAGCTGCCCCGGAGGCTGCAATGGCAGAGGCGTGGATGCCACAGGCAGGGCCTCAGGAGCTGAACTACACAGCTGCTGGGGAATGCCAGCCCTTTCCAGGCCCGGGTAAGACAAGGGATTCAATTCCTTTCATTGGTTTCTGTTGTGCGAGCTCCAGAGCTCTTCAAGGCTGGGACTGGGCTCAGAACCAATTAAGCCTTGAAAATGGTCCTTGCTGATAGAGGAGGGGGACATCACTGTGGGAATAGCTGGGCATCAGGACTGTTAGATGCAGAGGCATTAAGAATCCCTTAAGCCACTGACCTGTTAGGACACCTGAGAAGAGTGTCACAAGATTTTAAGAAAACCATGGCAGGCTGGGTAGTCTGGGGAAGGGCTGATTTTGCAGCAAACTTTGATCAGTGGCACCAGCGATGTTGGGGCTGCCAAGCACCTCAAGGTGCTTTTATGCCCCAAGAGCCCCATTCACAGTTAATTCTTTTTTTTTTTTAATTTTTTATAGAGGCATGTTTATTTATTTATTTATTTGTTTGTTTTTTTTGTTTTATACATGCACTGGGTACAGTCAGAAGCGCGGGAGGGTGAGAGAATTCACCAGAGCCAGAGCGGGGAGCAGAGCAGGCAGAAGGACCGAAGTACACTGCTGAGGGGAGCAGCGGGCGGCAGGAGAGGTCTGCGCGCCATGCGGGACCCTCCTCCGGTGGCCGGGGAGCAGCCGGGGATCGAACAGGCACCGCGGAGGCTGTGGGCAGGTTCGCAACCCAGGGCTCAACCGCTGCGCCACCGGGGAGGCCCCACACAGTTAATTCTTTATTCCATTACTCTCTTCAGATCATTTAAGAGGGTTCAATCACTCCTTATCTCATTCCATCAAAACCTCCAACAGTGTATCTGCAAGTACTGAGCACACTGTCCTGTCAGGACCCCCTGGGGTGCATGTTTAACCGGCTGTCCAGGTGAACACCCTGCACACCACTTTTGGAAGCACCTCTGCAGGCAGGCCTGGCTTAGGACTAGAAGGAGGAAGTCAGGTGGAAAGGGGCAGCAGGCCCCAATAGTGCTGGTTCCTTTCACTCTCGCTGGGGATTTCTTTCACTGCTACCCGTGATCCCTGTCTCTACCCAGCTCCTGCCCCCTCCCATAAAAGCCATGGCCCAGGCCTGGCCAAAACCCCACCCTTTACGGTCTCTGCCACAGCTTCCACATGTTGGAACCTTCAGCAGACTGAAGTAGCAAGAAAACTAAAGGGACATACAAAAGGAACATATTGAGAACAGTCCAAGTTTTAAATACTGATCTCATCCACCCATAAGTAGCTCAACCAGGGCCTAGCAACTTTGCCACTTCGCACATTTAAAGCTTATTCATTTCACTGCTAAATATCCCCACCTGCTGAGAGCCAGGCACAGTACAGACCCTGGGGTCAGTAGTACAGCACAAAGATGACCCGTTCCTGGCGTCCTGGAACTGGAGCTGCTGCGGTCAATTCAGATCTGTAAGTGGGTACGGGATGTGATGGAGACAGACTGTGAAAGGACGCGTGAACAGGTGGGATGCTATGGGACCTCCTAGGAGGGGCCCCACACCAGCTTTTGGCAAAGGGGGTAGAAGACCTGAAAAAGGGGGCATGTGGGTGGAATCCTCTAGGGAGACTTGCAGTGAGCCTGCTGAGTGGGGGAGTGGGAGGAGAGAGGGTGTGGGAAGCATGCACAGATGTGCACAGGCCCAGAGTCATGAAGGACCTGGCAGTTTGCAGAGCTCCTGCTGCGGGGGTAGGGGCAGAGGGGCCATCCAAGGGGCAGGAGGGAGAAGAGGGTCCTGGACTGGGAAGAAGTACTTAGCACACTCAGTCAGCTGTGTTGAGAAGTTATGCTTATTATCAGGGAGGTGGGGAACCCCTGGATGCTCCTAAGGAGGGGGAGCTGAACAGTGGCTTTGCCTTTTACATGACCGTTCTGCCCAGGAAGGCGTGAGACAGGATACAGGGACACGCTGGGCTGGCGGCTGCGATCACCCAGGTGGGAGCTGATGTCCTAGAGTAGGGTCACGTGGTGGTGATGGCACGGAAAGGGCAGGATTCCAAAGATATTTAGCCTGGGCATGGATAGGCCTTGGTGATGGACTGGACACCGGGGTGTTGAGGAAGAGAAGGTGAAGATTGGCATCCTGTTTGCCGGCCAGTGGCCATGGACATGGCCTATTGTTCCCTGACACAGAGAACAGGAGGAGGCTCAGAACTGGTGAGCTAGATTTGAGCATGAGGAATTGGGAGTGCAGAGGGATCCAGTGTGGAGGTGCAACTCAGGAGAGACAGATGTGCAAGTCAAGAGCTGTAGAATACAAGGTAATGGAAGCCTTAGGGTGGCGGCCTGATCGGCAGTGGTGACACACAGGCAGAAGCACAGGGTCCTCTGCAGACACTGGCAGACACCAGATCAGAAAAGGCCATTGTATGTGAATTCCTGACCTGTCACTTCCAGGTACCTTGCCAGGTTCCTTGCTTTGCAGTGCCCTCTTCCACCCACATCACAATAGATATTCTACACCCTTTGACCCATTTGCTCCTAAAGCCAGTAGATATTCTTACTCTAGGGCTTACCTATGGCTTTTCTTTTCTGCAGGTTTCCAATCCCAGTGGCATGTCTCTTCTCCCGGAGGCTGGCCAACCGTGGGGACAGGCACAGGTGAGATGCCCCCTCTCCTTGGACAGGATGCCTTGGTCCCTTCCTGTCCTTCAGTAGGAGCTTACCTTGGCTGGGTAGGCCCATGTCCCCAGAGAATTCATCTCAGACACTTTCAGTGTGATCGCTGATGATGACAGTGTCTCCCTTTCTGCATTGACTGAATGTCTCCAGGCACCATACTTTGTGCCTTCTCTGGCAAGTGCTGGGCCTGTAGCAGATGTGGGCTCTGTCTTCTTTTGAATGGAGGTGACAAACAGGACAAACCCACAGGAAGCAGGATGTATCTATTCTGGTCATAGCCCAGTCCTACAAAACAATGCCATCCATATTCCACTCTCGGGCTACCTACATCTCCAGATCTGTGCACAGCTTTCTTGAAAGTCTATATTTTGTGTGTTAGCCTGCAATGATCAGCAGGACCTTGGTGCAATTTGGAATTATCAGTCTTGGTGCAATTTGGAATTATCAGTGTGTCTGCATATTCATCCCCATGCTTTAGCTGATACAAGCTACTGAACAGGTTGGGACAGCAAAGCACTGGGAGAGCCAGGAGCAGAGCTTTGATTGTCGGGGGAGTGGTGGGTAAGAGCACCCGAGGCTGTGGAGCCTGAGGATGTTTCACATATAAGAAGGGCATGAGTCTAACATGTAGGTGGAAGCTCAGGACTGGGCCGGCTTCTGAAAGCTGCATCCAGGGTGCTAGCTGGGTGAGGACCAGGTGGAAGCTGTGGGTGCCCCCATGCTAGTGCTGCACAGAAAGGAGCAGCCGGACTCTGGCCAGGCCCCGTGGCCCAATTGCCTGTTTGGCCCCCAGTTTCATTTTCTGAGTGCGAGGTTGGGCCTCTAGGGCTGTTTGAACTCCTCTGTCTTCCCATCTTGGCTGCTTCCCACCCAAAGGGCAGCCGGTGTCTAAGCCACGTATGATGAGATCTGCAGCCTTAAGAGTTACTAGTCCAGGGCCTCCCCTGATGGCGCAGCGTTTGAGAGCTGGGCTGCGAAGCTGCCCGCAGCCTCTGCAGTGCTGGTTCGATCCCCGGCTGCCGGCGAGGGTCCCACATGGCGCGGCAGACCTCTCCTGTCTTGCCTGCTGCTCCCCTCAGCAGTGTATTTCGTCAGTCTGCCTGTTCTGTTCCCTGCTCTGGCTCTGGTGATATCTCTCACCCTCTCGCGCCTTCTGGCTGTACCCAGTGCTTGTATAAATAAATAATTTTTTAAAAAAGTTTCCCGTCCAGGCTCTAGGCGCAGGAGGGAAAACCACAGGAACACATCCTGCCATCCTGAACACTGGCTTTCCTGTCTCCCTTATTGGGGGATGTTCTGGCCTGTGGGTTTCTGCTCCCCTCATGCTGGTTCTCACCCTCCAGTCTTTCAGTTGGCTCCCACTGTACCTCGAAAGCAGCTTTCTTTTGAGCCATAGTCTCCAGTTTTGCTGGTGTCTCCCATGCTGTCTTTCCAAGCTGAGCCATGACACCCAAACAAAAACAAAGTGATGCGTTCAGCAACTTTTGGTTTAAATGCATTTCATTTCTCTTCATCTGATCCATTCGGCCTTTTCTCCATGAAAATTCAAAATAAGCGGTTGAAACAAACTTGTTAGTTGGTTTTGCTTGTGCTATAAACATCGCGCAGCATTGCCATCAATCCGACCCACACTTCCTTGCAGACTGGTCAACGTGGCAGAGCTAAGGAAGGCCAGGAAGGGGCGTGGAGATGACGCAGCCACAGAGGCCATCTGTCTGTGAGCACAGGGGTGGTGAGGCCCAGACACATGAGGTTCCAAACTCCTCAGTCCGGACCTCAGACTGACAGTGAGAATTGGTGCTTGATGGTATTTGGGCTATTTTGAGAGAACCAGTTTCTAGACTTCAGCTGAACCAGAGGTTCTGATGTCTTCGTTGCCAGTTAGTTCTGTTGCTGTGTTTCCTTGAATATCTCTTACTGAAATTATTCTAGTTCCTTAGAGCCGCTCTTTACCTCTCTCTCTCTGCACTCCTGGGACTCACTAAGAGAGTGTTTCTGTTGGAAAGGACAACATTTGGGGAAGCTTGGCTCTGTGTTCTGGCTCTGAGCTTAAATCATTCCGCTCTTGAGATAGACGTGGAACTAGGTGTGTTCAGCCCAGAATGGGTCACTCTCGTGCCTCAGAGTGGAAGAGCATCATAGCTTTGAGCTCAGCACAAAAGCACATCCCCTCCCTTCAATGTGCTCTTGTCTACACCCTCAAAACTAAACCAAGGCCAAAAGGCTTGTGAGAGCCTGCTCTGAGGGACTCCTACCTGAGAAGGAAGGAGGTAGGCACTGAGAGGCCACATGTCCCAGACACAACTTTGACTCTGGAGACACCTATGTTGACTCCCACCCCCCTTCCTCCTGCCTTTCCTGTGACCAGAACCCCCAGAGTGGCCAGCACACCGCCTTCCAGACCCTGAGCTGAGGTTCCCAGTGATTGACAGAGAAGAGCCTTGGCCAAAGGAGCAACTACACAATCCTCATGACGTGAAACTAGGATTCTACGGCACCGGCGTAGGTAGGTGAGGGGCCATCGGGTGTTGGGGAAGAAAGAAAAGAAAAACTCCCCTTAATCCCAGGGTAATGTGGTTTGGGATGTCGCTGGTAACCTTCTGTCTTCCCACTAGCTGATGGGTATAACTCTTCTTAGCCCCTATCTAGCCTTTCTCCCTGGAGGATGGTGACATCTGCAGTTTCTGTTTCTGCCCTCAGGCTTGGCTATTGGGAGGGAAAATGAAGAAAATATGTGCAAAGGGTAAAACATGCAAAGTATTTATCCATTTTATGCTTCTGTAGACAGGAATGTGCTCCTTGGTCCCAATTTACCTGGAAACTCGGAGCAGCTTGAAAATCCATTGAGACACCCCACAGAGCTGCCACCCAGCGACATGACAGTGCCTGTCCCTTCTCAGAACCCTTGTCTAGGAGAGACAGCTGAGCGCGCCAAGGTGCCAGAACCCTGCGGCCCCAGAGCCCCTGAGCAGAGCTGTCCCAGTGAGAAATCTTACTCATGTGTCCAGTGTGGGAAATGTTTTGCTACCCTGAAACTGCTTAAGGGGCACGTGAAGATTCACTCTGGAGAGCTCCCTCACAAATGCACTATTTGTTTGAAAAGATTCCTACGTAAGTCAGACCTAACCAGGCATTATCGCGTTCACACAAAGGAGACACCCTATGAGTGCAGTGTGTGTAAAAAGCGATTCAGTCAGAAGACACACTTGGTCATACATTCTGAATATGAATCATACCGATGTTTGGAGTGTAGGATAAAATTTTGTAATAGATTAACTTTTCTCAGACACATTAAAATCCACACAGGTGGAAAACCCCACGGCTGTTTCATTTGCGGGAAAAGATTTAGGCGAAAGACAAATTTTACTTTGCACCTACAAACCCACACCTCAGAAAGACCTTATGTATGTGAATACTGTGGCAAAAGCTATAGACAGAAAACAAGCCTCGTTTCTCATTTAAAACTGCACAGAAGTGCAAAGCCAGACATGACTCATTCTTTTGTACATCTTAATATGCACCAAGGAACTCACTCTAGAGAATTTTCAGAGAATTTGTTGAGGGAAACAGCTCAACAAATCGAAACTCATTCATGAAAGCCTTAACCTGCTCCAGGCTGTCTTGGAAAGACAGTTTGGTTTGTGTCTGCCTAAGAATGGCTTTGTGCTTTGGTATCTTTAAAACCCATCTGCCAAGGTGTGTAGATCCTGAAGTAGCTGCCAGCTGTTGCCACTGCCCTGCATTTGGTTTCTTTCTGTCTAGAGGAATCACGTTGAATCATTTTGATGAAAATGTTTTCTCCCTAGCTGACGACAGTGTACTTGTCCCTAGCTGACTACAGCGCACGTGTAACTAAGACGCATGCACAGGCGACTTTCCTCTCAGGTCTAGGGCCAGTGTCCCAGTCACGGGGAGCCGCCCCATGGACCTGCGTCTGTGCAATATTTTATTCACCTGCAAAGTACATGCCTTTCCCCTTTCATTCCCACTGACTCATTGTCAGCAACATGCAGATGCTTCCCTGAAGTGAGTCATGACCACGTCCTTGACACGATTATTCCTCTGTAGCCTCTGCCATGCCCATGCATTATTTAGCCCAATGCATTTAAGTTCAAAAGTTACCTGTTCCCCATGCAGGGCGTGGTAGAGTTGTCCATGCAACTGTCTGCTACTGTGGTGGTCATTTTATTTCTTCTTTGCCCCAAGTTGGCCGATGTTGATATTTTCCTGTCAATTCTTGATTGTAATACCTTGTCATTAATAAATGGAGTTCATTTTGTTTCTGCTTTAATTTCATTTAGAGTTTCTTGAAGACTTACATGCTAGACCATAGCAAACATGCAGCCCACTAGTAGGGCACACAGCTGACCATAGAGTGCATTCTTGTGACTCAGTGTCTTGCATGTCATTGGCGTGTTTGGTGCTCAGGAGGACATTATAGCAGTTGTCAAGAGTCACCAGCGATCAACGTCACCAGGGACAGCAGGAGGCTGAGGACATAGGAGACTCCTAGCTTCTGCAAACCAGGATGTCAAACAAAGAGCTCTCTCTGAAGTTAACCTGGACCCTCCCTCCACAGCCCCCATCCTCATTCAGCAGGGTTACTCATCTGGTCTCACTGGTCCACCCTAGCCCCATAAAGCACCTTCCCAACAGACCTGACAGAGTGCCCATCTGAAGACACAGCTCAGTTTGTTAGGGGAAAAAGGATGTCCCAAAGCTAATTCCATATAGGCTTTGTGGACTCCACCCCCACCCTAGGTCAAAGTCAAAGACACTGGGAACTCCACATCCCATCATCACCAAAGGGAAGGTGGCTGGGACCTGAGGGTGGGGTTAAGCAGCCAGGTGGATACAAAAAGGCAGACACGTGGGCTTTGGGGAATCCCCCATTTTTGGCTCTCCGCCAGCTCGCAGCATCCTGCCAGCTCTGAGAGTGACTTTGGGTTTCCTGGTCGTCGGATCGGGTAGGACGCATTAAAGACTTTATTTCCCTATTTTCTCCCTGAGTTGTATATTTTCCTTATTTCTTTTTCTCTTGTAAATAAACCTTTTATTAACCCTTTTGCATGTGTCTGTAGTAGAGTATTCATAAGTCCCTTTAAAGCGCGCGGGTGAGGACCCACAGGCAGAAACCCGTTTAGTATCGGGGCTGCTCTATAACAAGTTCAGTCTCCTGGATTGTACCCACAGGGAAAGTAAAAGAGCCAAGAGCCTGGACAACTGAGCTCCCTTCGCTTTGCTACCCAGGCTACCTAGCAGCTGCTTAGACTCAAAGAGCATAAGCAAAATAGACCTTTCAGTGTAAACAAAGTACACTTGAACAGTGACTGCGTGCATGCCCACAGGTACAAGCAACGCACTCAGTGAGAATATATTGATAGCAGGAGATTTGAAGTATTTGAGGTATTTGTCACTGTGCAGTACATTCCATCTCCCTCCAAAGGTCCAACTGAAATACTGAAGAGTCAAGGACTGCAGCCAAGTCCGGGTCGAAATTGTTCTAGTGCTGAAATCCTCTTAAAGACCAAGCTTGTCTTCGTTTGACCCCTGAGATAGTATCTGAAATCTAATCTAGACAATTAAACGATATCACTCAAATGATTTGAGGTTGGAAATACAGATCCTACATTCAAAAATATCGAGAGTGAATTTCTTATGAATCTAGATGGCATCTTTCCTAACAGATGTAATATAACCAATGAAAACTTTTGCACCAGAGTCCGCTGGCCCAGCTACACCAAGATTATTAGAGAGAGCATCCACCTGTCAAAGAAAGCAGTTATTTTTCAAGCACAACAAAATAATTAAAATCGGAACTTATATCCCTAAAACAATGTTTCTCAATAAATGCTTCCAAGCCACTGTCCTTAACTACTAGGACTATGTTTTATGTGACATATAAGTTATAGATGTCAGATGATGGGAAAAACAATACCCGAGCTTTGGATGTCATTAACCGCATGCAAAAGTATTGCCCAAGCATTTACTTGACTGATACCATTTGTATCCAAATTTTTCAAATAAGCTTCCCCTGTTCTCCAGGAATTCACAATATTCACAATCAAATGGGGGCCAATAGGGGGAAAAATAGCTGAGGAAGCTAGCTCTGACAAATGGTTACAAAAGCTAGTTCAAAACTGTTTTTGTAGGAAATCCCAGAAGGGAGAAAGTTTCAGATTCGGAGACCATAGGGGCATCTAAAGGGGGATGTCAGCACTGACCTGAGCTGTGAAAGATGAGATTTCACCTAGCAAAGGTGGGTGTGGGCAGGAGCTGGAAGACAGGGGAAAAACAAACAAGAGATAGGAGACTAGGGAGCAAACCATAGGATTCAAGATCAGGCCCTGAGGGATGAAGTAGGAAAACTCAAACTGGGGAGGGCTCTAAAGCCAGCCAGCCAACCAACCAACCAACCAACCAACCAACCAACCAGGGCTTTACATTTTCTGCAATAGGGAAGTTTGTGTTTGCTTTTGTCTTTTGGAACATTGGAATTGTAATAGTCCTTAATTGATGGTTTTTTCAATTACAAAAATGGCAGGTTTATCTCTGAAAAAGTAGAAAAAACATTTCAGCACATGGCAGCAAACACTTACCCAAGGGGGCAGGGGGCGGGGGAGGGGGTGCGGGGGCGGGAGGGTGGGCTCGCTGGTGGCACAGGGATTAAAGTCTCAGCACTATCAAGCTATCTCCAGCCCACGGCGACATGCCTTAGATCCCAGGCTACAGAGCTAACCCACATGGCGCAGCAGACCTCTCCTGTCCCGCCAGCTGCTCCCCTCAGCGGTGTATCTCAGTAGGTCCGCCTGTTCTGTTCCCCACTCTGTCTCTGGTAAATCCTCTCACCCCCCGCACCTCTGGCCTACACCCCAGTTCTTGTATGCATGAATAAATAAAAATAAATCTTTTTAAAAATCACTCAAAATTCCATTGTTCAGAGACAACTGAAAGCAGTCTAGAAATTCCTGATGTGTTTTACGGACAAACATAGAGCCATCATTTTAAAAGCAACATTTAGCATTGCACAACTGCATTAAAAACTGCATGAAAGCTGCCTATAGTGATGGCAAACATGTTTCTGTAACAAGAGAGTGAGAGCGCCGTATGGCCCCGCTGAGTGGACGTGCCCTCTTAGACAGTCGCAGCTCCACGTTGCTGGATGTTTAGATTTTTATCCCAAAATGCTGCCCACTTGCCTGGTGCATTTCTATGAGATGAAGCTCTCAGCGGGGAAATTCTTGTGCCAAAGTTCCTGGCGGAAGCTTCGTTTATTGAGGTGCAAACACTTGTCAAGATAATTTTGTAGTGGTTTTTTAAATGGCCTCATCCCTCTGTTGCTGGTGGGGGGAGGAAGCTCATTTGCCTCTCTCTACCCTTCCAGACCCAGAGGCTGGGAAACCCTTCCCTGCACTGCTCAGAGATTAGCAAGTGAAAAGACGAACTAATCACTAGCCTAGGGGACTGGGGGGTGGTGTTGGGGGCGGCTCAGGCAGAAAAGAATGGAGCCTGACGTCTGGCCAGTGCCGGTGAGGTTCTGAGGGCTCCAGAAAGGCGGCCATAAAGTTATGAAGCGAAACAAAACACTTTAAAGGAAAAGCAGTTCTGCGGCGTTATGTGCATATGCATCAACAACAGCCCTGGCCCCACCGCCAGGACTGCCCCTGAGAGTTCCTTCTTCGGGGGCGTCACCCAGACAAAACCTCACCTGGGATCTTTTGTGTTTTAATTTCTTTCCATCAAAATGCTAGACTTGCCACTTAGGCTCTTCCTGGGGTGGCCGGTCCTGGGCTCCAAGAGCCTTCACCTGCTCTCCGGGCCCATCCCATGGTCATGTCCCGCCTCTCATGGCACTGTGGATTGAAGCTCCAGGATCTGGGCCCTGTCGCCACCGCCACTGGCTTCCTCGTCTGAGAGCTCGATCTAGGTCCTCCGACCTCTTGTGGTCCCGAATTCACACCAGCTCTCAGAGGAATGCCTGCCCGGGCCTCCTGTCAAAGGCGCCCTCTCTCAATTCTTTTGATTTTCCCTGCCAGTCACCACCCAGGAGATAGGGACTTCCAGCAGACTGGGGTGCCTGGGGGGTTTGGTGTTTGGGGCAGAGGGGGCATTTCCTTCTGCTTCCATTTCCTTCCTCTCTTCACCTTGGCTTTCAGCTCTGCGGGGACCGGGCATGAGCCCCTTCGTGACACGGACACCGGTGCCTGCCAGTCTCGGGTCCCTTGGCCGACGGAAGGAAACAGAGGCGGAGGAGAAGGACGGCGTCTGCCGTTTGTGGACGCGCCGAGGAGGGCAGCACCCTCGTGTCTGCAAGACCAGCGTCCTGCTCTTTGGCGGAGGACAGGGCCACCCATCCGGAGACACAGGGGGACAGAAGGGGAGTGGGCCGGGCAGCATGTCCACCCTCCAGACACAAGCTTCTGGAGAGCCTGCGGGACGCCAGCGCGCTTTTGCCATCACCTGGTGGTCAGCAGCGCTGATGTCATCTTTGGACTGAACTCTTTCCTGGGCGTGTGAAAAAGCACAGTCTGTTAGCTCTGCAGGGAAGACAAGGGAAGCGGGAGAGCTGGTCTGGCGGGACGGAGAGAGACACACACCTTGTTGCTGCATCCACGCAGGACGAGTGGGTAGCGGTGAGGGAACAAGGTTGGCTCCTTCTCTCGGCCTGTGCGCCGAAATCCAGTCCAGGCTGACTGACGTTCAGATGTGAGTAAATGAATGAGGAAAAGCTGAGGAAGTACTTGTGCGAGTTATGAGTTGGACCCTCTCTGGGCATTCTTGCTGAAACCACACGTCCCACGACAGGTGGGCATGTGCGCACTACGCTCCTAAACACACCCAACAGTCAAAGGACCGCACTGGACAAAATGACGTAAAACCTCCGTATGCTCATTTTTCTAGGGAGTCTTTCATTTTTGTACCCTACAAATAGCTGGGGTATCCGAAAGAGTGCCAAGCGCTACGCAAAGACAAGTGGCTCAGTTGTTATCGAGACTTTAAGAAATCTCAGATAAGCCAGGATTCAGATGAACGATATTCCCACCCTTGCCAATGTTGAGAAAGCAGCAATACGGTGCGCCTGCTGTCGAGGGTGCCCCAGACAAGGCCGGGCATCCAGGGTCCCGCAGCCTGATCCCATCCTGCAAAGACATGGGCAGATAAGCCCGGGGAGAGCTCGGCCCTGTCTGCTGCTCCACCCACTGAAAATAGAGCGGCCCCCTCGCACACTGGAGAGGCTCTTGAGACCACCTGCTCAAGCAAGATTGAGCAGAGGACTCC